AAAACAGGTTGAATAGTGATTACTAATTGCACGTGTATATAGTCAGCAAAAGACAGGATAGGCATGATGTGTGAAATCCAAAAGTTTCGCTTTACCACGGCGTGCAAACGCATGTAAGTTCCTTTTTAAAGCTAACGCGAGATTCGGTGTTCGCTCACTTTTAATATGATTAAAGAAAATGTCCCAAACATCGATTGCTCACTGAAATACTGAAATGTAATCGTTTCTGCACAAATTCAACTCTGATCTCACTGGCAAGATATAAATATCAGCTTCGAACAACCAGAAGCATACTAATGTTATTTTTGTCGTTGTTATTAAACTTCATTTCATGTCCTAATCTTGTGAAACCCCTTGGCGTTTTGCATTTTGTTTGACAAAATAAGCCATTAAAGGCAATCAATTATGTTCAAAGGGAAGTATTTGACCTAAGTGACCTATCATCTTATGGCAGAGACAATCAGGCAGAAAAACAACAATATTGACTCTGTTGGAACTTGCGTAAGAAGGTAATTGTCAGTCACGTCCCGCGTTTCCTGACTTAAAACGCAATCAAGACGCTCTATTGTGTTACAATGAGTGTTTGTCATATTAGAACCGACTTACAGACTCGTCCATCAATGGACAATAAAGACAAATTCTAAGTGACATTTTCCCGGAAAGTTTGTCTCGGTGCAAAACCAGAGGCGTGTACAGTGGTGGAATTATTGGGACACATCGAACACGTGACTGGCAATGCCCGCCCCTTGGCCCCGAAGGCACCCTTCACTCCCTTTCTCTCCATAAAAAATAAATAACAAACAAAACGAGACAACCACACCAGCATTTTTCCAATCCTATGCCTACATATTATATTGAGTTTGTACTCGATAGCTGTTGGATACTCTCCCGTAACAAAATTCTGATTTGTGACCACTGACCACACTATCATAAATGAAAATATGAGCACCGCCAACTTACCGTGAAAAGCGGATATGAGTTAAATGACTCTAACGCTGAAGTTTTAACAGGATGAAAACATCCTTAATTGACTACAACATGTCAGATAACACTGAGATTAAATGAACTTATTTCCCTCTTGTTTCACCCATACGCTTTTCCATGTAATTGCACAATTTTCCATGAAGTGCCCAATTTGGCAACAGTATTATACCTTTCGTCCAATACAAGGACAAAAGTTCATAATGACGTAACAGATGTCAAGTAAGATCAGAAAAGTAATTTGAGGTTTCATGGTCAATGCAGGTACAATGGCACAGGAGTATGAGAGTCTATTGTGGTCTACGTTTTGTTTTCTCGTTGCCCAATTACTATAGGTGACACAATACCCGAATATTGACACATTGGGTAATGAGAACTTTTTTATTGATTTCCCACAAAGGTATCCATTCCCATTTGGTAAACCAGCAGTCTTTGATAGAGGACTAAACGTCTAGATATGACAGAATATGTAATAAGATTCACTTCTCTGTTTTTAGCTATTCTCCAAAAAGTAAACCTTGGCGCTTCTATAAGCAATAATTTTATAACGGCACGGAACCGGGCTTATTTAGTGACCCTGTGTTTTCCTTTGATTGATTGGGTCGCTTAACGTTAGAGGTGTTGAAAGCAAACATTTTTGTCTTTTGGGGCAGTCACCTTATATATGTTGGTCCAAACCCTTTGTCGTTGCCTAATGACAATTTTCTATCCGTCAACCTCGACTTGAAAGTGTTTCTTGTAACCGTCCTCGAGACATGCGTGATGCAGATTTTCTAAAAGGTTTTGGCCATTCAGAATGTTTTTCCTGTCGCGTGATAAAACTACATAAACAGTTCCCGTTCTGTGAGTAATTTCACACTGTCGTAACATTACCCGTCATTAATGGGCAAAACTACTTTCAATGTATGGATTTGCATTACCCAGGCCTTTCCAGCCGATCATGTGAAAATGAAAAATCGGCTGTGTGTATCAAGAAGCGCTTTGTTTCCACAGGGGAGGTGGTTATTAGACAAAAAATCAAATCTAATTGCAACTTGAGGCAACCACGGAGATTAAGATTAGATCTTCTGCTACCAATGGAGAGCACATTCAGCCTGTTCAACGAAACCAATTGGCTTTGCAAACACAAACTGTCCCGTCTGAAACGTGCAGTGCTTTTCAAAAAAATCATCTAATACATCAATAGATACAAAGAAGGATTACGGTTGCTAGGTTCATGTTAAGTCTAGAAGAGCAATAACTGGGCTGAAAGCAAGGGAAATTCGATTTTAAATACAGGGTTTGAATTTTTAATTCCTTTATATTGTCATTACTGGGTGTTATCAGTTATACCGAGTCGAGCTTATGGAAATGCGTAATGGGAAAGTACATACCATAAAATGCACGAGAGCTATGGGAAATAGCCTTGTCGAAACAAAAGCCCACAACAAAGCGCAGATCTGTTGCGCAGCGCTCAGAGCGATTGATTTTAGATTTAACGCACCCCACCGCGTCAGGATAGACTACTGGGCTTAGGTTTGCTAGCTCGGGGAAATAACCCTCTCGCTTTAGTCGGTAATGTGCAAGTCACAGAGATTAGAAGGTGAAACCAGGCCAAAAACGTTCTGTCGTTCATTCTTGACTGTTCTTGACAGAGCAACTTAATTGATTGGCGATACCAGTTTGCATACGAGTGCCAAGTGGTGAACGCTTTGCAACATGTTGGCGTACATCTTTACTTAATGAAATGAAATTCAAATTGTGGGGGATAGGTTGATGAATAAGAATACCGTGCGATATTGACTATGAGCAAGGTAAACGTTTATTTATTTAAAACACATCAAGGTACAAACAAGTAACCGAATAAGTAATACATATGGCACACACGCATAGTGTGGGCCAATACGAAGGTGCCTGCAATTCCTGCCGTCTCGTATCCTGCAAGCAGAAGAGTGATCGTTATCCTACAGCCAGCAGTAGTTCAGATACGCCTCGGTAGGACTGGGGCTCCATTATTATTACCCGGACTTCTTCACTCGTCAGTTGTTGTGACATGACTTAATGGATTTGGCTCTATTCGCGAACAGCGTTGTTGGCCACGGGGGAGTTGGTTACGGACTCGTAAGGGACTGGTCCTATGATGGAACGAGGATTATTGCATGTCAACGCGTGATTGGGATGACTTTATTGTGAAACGTGCGTTAAGAGTACAGTCTATAAGAGTGTCATATTATGCTCATTAATCAATTAGATGGATGCCGATGATAATCTAAATGAGATATATGTAGGAGGGTTTTCAAAGTGCTTTAAGTAACAAGCATGTAACAAACTGACAAACATAGCTCAAACGCCAGCTCATTCCAGGAAAATACTATAAGAAAACGCTCGGGAATACATTTCCAGAAATAAAAAAAAAACACATTGGACTTTTCCTCACTAGGTTTCTGCAACGGGCCTGATCTACGTTCGCTGCACGAAAATGGTACATGTTAAACACGAAAAGTCGAGCGTGGCTTTAATTCCGGGGAACCTTTGAGTGTTATTGGATTCCGTGATAACCCGTGGCTGTGGATTCCCGGCGATGTCGACACGCTTATTTTTAACCTGAATTAACGGGGAATTAATAGGAACCCGTCAACAGACTGTTGAGGGCGTATCGTTATCTCACGTTATGCGACCTGTACACGCAACTCTATCAAACGCGATGTGGCAGTGGAGTATTAGTAGATAGAACATTATTAGACTTGCTGATTGAAACGAAACTTTTGCACGATGAAGGAGGCTGCTAAATATGCCAACGTGATTAGTAGCATGTTATAGAGGTAGTAAGTCTTCTCAGAGCACTTGAATGATTCAGTTACTGTTAGCTAGTGAAACGCCTTTACTGGCTCATTTTAATTGACATTCTACCTAAATTACCAGCTTTTAACCACGCAAGTAGATATCGGATAGAACGATTCGAGTCAATACTTATCATATTAGTGACAGGTTTAATTAGATCCCAGCTTAAGCTGACTAACTTCTGGACTATGGGCTTTTCACCAGGCGATTCTTTACACCTCCGGCGGGAAGGCCGCTGATGTCAACCGTATGACAAGTCGAAGCCTAGTAACTCGTCTCCGCTTCGGACCAGTAGAAAGGAGTGCGACTTCGAACGCAGCGTCATAAAAGCCACTGTTATTTAGCGAGTCAGAAAAGTCCATCGTCAAAGGAACCAAGAACGGACCATGTCGACCAAGTGGATGCCGGACGTGAACGGACACAAGTCTCTCCCGGCAGACTTCCTGTACCTGACAAATTCCAAATTCGGAATCGGACAGACGACAAATGGCGGGAGCATGATGTGTCTCTACCCAGGGGCTTCCAGGGAGGGAGATAGTGCCCAAGGGCGGGCAAGTCCACGTAAAGTTCTCTCAACAAAGGTGATGGCGTCTGTTTTGTTGACCTCAGTCATTTTCCTGTTTTTTCACTGTGCTCGGTGAAACAGGGTTGCAATTCATCGACCGAGTGAAGCTTCATAATTTCGACTTTATTTTATGGATCAGGAGATTGCCAATGTGTTCATTCGAAGCCCTGATGAGTGGATTAGTTTATAACATCATATCTGTGTAACGTGCGGGAGTTATTTCTGTGTATTTTTTCAATCTATCATATCTGTCTCGGTGGGCAATATTTAGAAGCGATCAAAAATGCTCATAGAACCTTGCCGCTGTTATTGGTAGTTTTTTCATCTATAAAACATACTAGATATAGAGATACTCTGTCATTTTACAATACTAGGTATCATTGAAATATTGTTTATTTTTAATTTATCACATCGGAGTAGAATTCATTGCATGTCACTTGTCGCAAAAATATGAAGTCACATTTGCTGAACATTTGTCCGTTTCCTTTGCGTGGCATTCAAAATGTTCAGCTTCCCCCAGACATGGACCTAATGAGAGATCTCTCATTAGGTCCATGCCCCAGACAATGAACTAAGTTTTAAAAAGGAGACAAAAAGACTATCATTTGACTGACTCCTCTCTTTCTCTTTACAGGTGACCGTAGAAGTTTGTGTAATCTTCCTGAAGTTGGGTGAAATAGACACCCTTAAAGAACAATTCTCGGCAGACGTCCTGGTCAAAGCAAAATGGCGGGAACCGGAACTCGACCGGAAAGGCAAGAATAAGGACGAGCTCATTGATGAGGTGAGACGCCACACACAGGGACACATGCTTCGTACATCCTTCAAATTCGAATGACAGCAGTTGAAATAATTGATCTCCAAGAGATCAGAGTGACCTTACATGTCATAGTCATTATTTTTCATAGTTTTTTATCACAGTTTGAAGTTTCATTTCAAGGCGAATTTCCTTTGCTTTGTTGTTGATAAAAAGCATAAACTTTTACCTAAAAGTCAACTAAATTACCCATCTATTCTATATACGTAAATGTAACAGCATCTGCCTGGGCGAGTATCAAACGCGTGCTTTAAGGATTTTCTAGTTAATGGAGTGAATTTTACACAATATAAATATCCCTATCTTTAATAAACTTTTCATTAAAGTTCAGTAATAAGTAGGCTAATTTTAATTTATTAATCCGGTGTTCTTTGAACATCTTAAAATTAGTGAATACATCCTATGTGTGAAACGTTTATACATTCTCCTGTCGCCAAAATACGTTTTTAATACTCTTTTCAGCCTTACGTCTATCATAAATGAAATTTGTGGTTTTCCTTTTGGCTGATCTTCTCTGTATTCTACTTAGAGGAAATGAACGCGAAAAAATCTCCTGAAAATAATCTTAATCTAAATTAAATTCTAATTTTAAAATCACCTGTTTCCTCTTTAATACTTATTGATTAATACAGGATGTTAAACAAAATACCAAAGGGCACCGAAGGACACGCTGTCATCCGTAGGTAATACGGTAAAGGCATGCATCGTTAAATTGGAAAGCAGCGTGGTCTCCGATTAGGTACTGATAGCGCATTGCTACTCTTAATGATCCAAAACAACATAACGCTTTCATGAAATACAAAAGTAGAAAGGCTCCAATGAAAGAGGTTACGATCTGCATGGTCTCGATGGCAATGCAGTTACAGCGCACGGACCCCAAAGCGGATATGGAATGATGAATTATGGTGTAAATAGTAAGAAACGAAATGAAATTTAGGAAATAGTACGAAGTTGCACGTTATGAAATAATACTGCAGTGAAGTATATAATAACATTATCTAAAGAACAGAGAGTCGTTAGTCTGGGTGTGAGGTTGGAACCTCGGCATTTGAATTCCACGGTCGAAGGATACTTATCCATTTTTTTGGCCAGTTGCCATGCGATTTAAAGGGACTAAATGGACTATGCGAAATCTTCTGTCATAGTTGAGGGATTGATTTATATCCGAAGGGCGCCAGTCTGTTCATAATCTGACAAGCACTACTAACGTGTTTCATAGACGTCTCGCAGATCTGCCTCGTTTCCAGTTCGCGCAGACGAGAGGTTCGCCTTACAAATGTTTGCAACCCCTGAATCAGATATGTGTAGTTATGCCACATAAAGTGTTTGGCTTGTCTTGGTTTTACTGAGAATGGATGGCATGTGGTTTCTGTTTTAGAAATCAGATATATATAGCGAGTGTTATCAGGCCTGAAGTAACACGCACGCTTAGTCTCATGCGCCACTTCGTGTGACCTTTGGATATGAAAAAAATTACATTCCGTTTCACTTTATCTGTGTACTCACCTAACCTTTCTGTTGCCACGAAACTTTATGGTTGAACGCCGGTTTTTTACCTAACTGTACAACATTCAGTTTACTAGGAATCGTCTTATAACCTTAGCGAAAACGGCGTTAAATTAAATGCAGTCAAAATATACATCACGAATCCTACCGCTGAAAGTATTATTGGACACGACTTGGACGGACAAAGTTTTAACTGTCCAAGTAAACGATAACAAATTCCTATCATTTTCAGTAATATTGCAAAAAGCAGCACGTTCCCCTTTTCTTTGCCATCACTCTACTATCCATCATTGCCACTGGGTTGCAACATAGACTTAAAATACGTTTATATGCATGATCTATACTGGGTATACAGCTTATTGATATAACATATACGAATTAAAGCACCTACATGTGTTATCCAGAAGACAGATCTGACTTCGACTGACATCATGATTTATAGTGTAATTTATGTGACAATATCGCCCAAGAGAATAATTTTGTTTGTGACTGTTGGACAATGCATTAAGTAATACTAACTGCACGGAATAAAGAAAGCAAAGTAGAAATGCGTACGATTTGAAAAGCTGAAGATATGCCATGTAATAGCCATTCAGCCGCATTTATTCTTTCTGTATTACCCTTTTCCCTCTGTTAATTCTTTTGGTCAATTTTCCCTGTCAGTTTACGACACAGTAATCAAAATATAGGCTTGATTGTTTATAATAATTGAACAGATAAAAGACATTACGATGGTTATTTATGTTACAGCGTTGACGAAAACTGGGAAATGGTCGTAATATTAGATAGCAACACTAAAAGCACAGAAGAAAGTACAACAATGAAATGATCTCATTATAAGCTGGCTTTGGTCAATTATGCCTATGCCCATTTGTTGAAAATGCAGTGAAATATCAGAGTTAGTTTGAGAAACATTTGACGATGTATGTAGGTAATCTGTTGAGTAACATTTGATTGAGAAATAGCTCCGTATTTCCAAGAAAATTTTCCCTCTGGTAATTATACCTCCCTCTGCAAAAGTGTTGCATATAGGCGGTTGTTTGGTGGATATTACAATATACCACTTAAGTTATGACAAAGGGTAGAGTCGAGAAATAAATAAAGAGATGCTTAAGCTACAACAATTAAATTTACCAGTTGCATTTACAGCATGATTGTTTGAAGTCCTAATGTAAAGTGGGATTTTCGTTTTATGTAATAGGGCGCCACTTAACAGTTTTCATGTTAATCGAAAATGTAGGCAGCGCAAAGGCGCCGTGTTCAAGACATTGCATTACGATATGAAACGAGGCCTTTTAGGAAATTAACGTGGTATCGGCAATACTAAATTGAAGTCACCTCTTATGCTCCCCATACCCATTTTTGCCTAGACGACGTCGACCCGTGAAAATTGATGGATTCCCGAGAGATCGTCGCCAATTAACGCACCATGATCCCGTGCCAGAGCGGAAATATGGTATAATACATAAACCTTGTGCCACTTTAATAGGATGCATTTTATGAGATATTTTACTCTTTTTTGGGGGATTATTCCTGAACGGTACAGGTTAGCACATAAATATAGCTCATTAACCCTTTCTTTTTTTCAGAAATACATCATTTGTTTTTTGTCTATCTGTCCAGAATAATTGAGTGATTATTCAAGGGGTTGTTGTCAAACGTTGTGTCTTAAAAAACTGTAATTGAGAGACTTATTTTATGCAGCGGTCATAAGGTAAAAGTTCCAATAATTAAGCACCCACTAGAATGGCTTTCAGTGGATTACATGAAGGATTGTTTCGGGTTTTTTATATATTATTCCTATCAGGGCACTTTCAATCAAATAAATTCACGGAATCGTCCTATGCGAGACCATTTCTAAGAAATTCTAGTTAATTGTGTCATTTTGTTTCTTGAATATAGGATGAAATCGACTTTGAAAAATACTGGAACCCGAAACTGTTCGTAGAAAACACTGTTGGTGACCCCAAGGAGGTTCGGTGGCGCACTCTAGCGTTCTCTTCTGAAGGGGACGCCTTCATCTGCGAAAATCAAAGGCTCAAGGGGACATTCGTAGAAAATTTAGAATTGAACGATTTCCCCTTTGATGTTCAGGTAAGTGACGCCGCTGGCGTGATAAGACCTTAAAGACAATTGCCTTGCATGCGTCAACATGTATTTTTTTTGTATCTGAAGGTATGTTTGATATAGAATGACACATGAGGCTTATTAAGTACTTAACTAGTGAATAGTAATCAATCATACGGCGCTAGAGGGGTACTAGTTTCACTTTGACTTCCACGTTGAGCTCATTTGGTGCTAGATTTACTGAACAGCTGTATATGAGTTCAAAGTAACTTCAAACAAGTCGTTTTTATTTTATTTATGACCTTGTAAAATGACATATTTGTCAGCAGAAGTTATGAAAATACAAAGAAGATAGATCCAAACATTGGTTTTTAGATGAAAGCTTTGTAAAATATTTTGGATATGGTATGGAAAGGGGGGTGGATATGGATGAAAAAATTGCCAACATGTCCACAAAACTCTAGTAAAGGTCTTACCCGCTTTGTATGCGGTTAATGATATGCTTTTGTCTTTTCAGAAATAAATAACCTAAATGCAAATACATGTAAACTTCAGTTAAAGCCCACATTGATATCAACATACTACAAATCCTTCAGAAGGTAGTGGCTAGATACACTTCAAACCAAGTACCTACTTTGGTACTTAATCATAGTTAGATATACCTCGTATTAAGTACCTACTTTGGTAAACTTTCAGGATCTGACCGTGACGGTGACTTCAGAGAGACCGGCCTCGGAGCTCAACCTCATTGAGGACCGTATGGAGCTCCACCGTGTCTATAAACAATCGTTCATTGACGAACAGGAGTGGAGTTTATACAAACATTTAGAGTCTGAAAGCAAATTTTTAGCCGAACCGCATGGGGACCCATCGGTAAAAAGAGTGTTGTTATCAGTTAAATGCCGGGCAGCAAGGCGACCTTGGTTTTTCGTTTGGAATATATTTCTTGTTACGGTGAGTACAGTTACGGACGGTTTACCTTTATTCTGACCATTAATTTTGTTATATTACGTATTTGCCATTCATACATTTTATTTGTATTTTACATGAAAAGGCTGGAGAACATGACTTATTACTTACATATTTAAAACATTGATTATCGTTAATAGACAGGTGCGCATTGGAAGCACATGTCAAAGACATATCACTATTATAGCGTAGAGTCTAAATGCACCTGCTGCCGGAATAATGCACTTCTAGTCTGTTATTGTGCAATTCATCAGTAATTTGCTTAAGCAAAGTTTTAAATATCTATGAAAGGCGACCCGAATGGGTCAATAAAAATCTTGTTTTACTTTTAAAAAATGCTTGATCTGCACGCCAGAGATAAATTAAAATCGATTACTCTGTCTATAACAGTTTTAAACAACTCACCTCGCTGCAAGACCAAAACGGAAGTAGATAGGATTTCACAAGGAGAACGGCACTATACGATTTATGCTCTACATGTATGTGTATGTTTGCACTTTTCATCAATGGACATTTACTGTATATGTAAGTCAATTCGTCACACTTTCTACAATGGAGGAAGGGATACCCTAAGAGGGAGAGGGCACAAATATCAGCCGTATTTTCTGTGGTATGAAACAATCTGCCTCTCTCTGAACCGACCATTTGGTGCCAGAAACTCCGGCAACGAACATCTTTAATATATTGCCTTATTGGTAATGAGAAGAAACCAACAGTCAAGGTATTGAAATTCCAAAACATTACTTTTTAGAAGTCTGTTTACGTGGCGAATGTTTCAATATTACATGGTACTATGAGTTAATCATAGCAGTTAGGGGATTCACTCTTTTCTTGGGCTAAATCCTGTTTCGATCTCAGTGCTGACTTTATAAACATGGGTCGGAATTACGAACAAACCCTGTGCGACAGGAATGAAAGCCCTAGGGATGGAGGTCTAGGTCCTTATCTGATAAGTACAGGTTAGGGTAAACCGGAAGTATCGGGGTTGGTATATGGGACGAATGTCACCTACTGCACAAAATAAAAGGAAACGGGGTTACAATAAATGAACTGCCAACCCTGTCACATATAGAAGACACCACTTTATGATTGAAGTGATAAGTTCAGAAGTATGGCATTTTAATAGCTGAGTGAAATATCAAATCGCTGTTAGTGTACCATGGTTAAAACTAAACAGACTCCATAACCTGAAAGCAGTACCTTCAAATACTGCAGCGGGCTGATGTACTTTGACGTTGTCGGCGTATTTGCACGCATACTCGGTATAGAAACCTGACGGAATAAAAAAGATGCATCTTAATATATAACTGTTGCTAGAACTAACACCGCTAAGAGAGAATTGCTATTTTTGATTGATTTCCAAATGCTTATTCATTGAATTGTTGGATACAGCAAGTTTGATAATTGTTGGGGGAGGGAAACTTAATTAATTCACTTTTTGCAGAGGAACTATACAGAAGCCAAAAGTGCTACCCAGCTGCGGACTTGTTTTGAATTTTGACCTACCCTAACCCGTGCAAAAAGGTTTTGTTTATGTTTACCTGTGAGGATAATAACAGAGAACAAATACACCTAGTAAAACATTAATGGGAAAAATGGCACCTTCAGTGGTATTTTGCGGTTTACAGACTAAACACCTATCATCCAGGTACGGTAGATATAGATATTGTATGGCACAGCAATATGAATATACGTGGACTCATAACTATTGCTGGCATATTTGGTCTTCCATATTAACACCTGTGGCATCTGCGTGTTGTTTTACAAAGTTGTTTTAGACAAACGTCTCGTAGACTTTCTTTATGTGAATCACTCTGAGAGGATATTGCGCTCTTGGTTGTATTAATCATGAGCGGTTATTTGATTTATGACGCTTTGTATTAAACGAGGGGATCTGGAGATGAATAAACTGCACACCTGTTCTATCAGAGGTCAAAGAAAGTCACAGCGGTGCGATATTGGGCGAGATAAAACTTAACAGGGATAAAAAAATGTTTTCATAACCAAAGGGGAAACTGCAAACAAATACGAGGCGGACGGCCAGACAGGCAGGCAATGAGCCATTTTCACGCTGTTATAAAATCCATAGCTTTTCCCCATAATTATCTTACGTCACTTCCTGATTTTCTGTTTCAGTTCCTGTTCTGCAGTTTGTCGTTTGCTACCTTCTCAGTGGAGTATAATCTACCACAGAACCGTCTACAGCTGTCATTTACCTTGGTGTTAACGGCGGTCGCTTTCAAGTTTGTCATCAACCAAAGTTTACCACGTGTGTCCTACCTAACATACTTAGTAAGTAGCATAAGCACTGTGGCAGTTGAGTATATTTAGATATTAATCTGTAGTGCATTTATTGTCTTTAAACAATGAAGATAAACATTTCTCAAGAGTTATGATTATGTATTTTAGTTGTCCCTTTGTCAAGTATGCAGTATGTGCAAATTTAAGTTTGATACCTCTTTGTTTTAATTCATTTTTTGCTGAAGTGTTTCATCTTTACTCCAGTTATATTCAGTGCATATATATATACGTAAACAATATATTATTTTTTATCCATCTGTATATTATTATCATTTTGATATCTCCCTGTTTCTTTTACCTTTCTTTGCTAAATATTGTTATCATGTACTAACTTATTTCACTCAATATTTGGACATATCGACTAGTTTATCCTTATTTAGTTATCATGGACAAATGTCTCCTTATTTGGACATATGGCTTCTTCTTTATCCTGATTGGTTAGCCCTGGGACAAATATCCCCATATTTGGACACATATCTACTATTTTGTCCTTATTTTGTTTATCTTAGGACAAATATCTCCATATTTGGACATATGTCCAGTAGCTTACATCCATTTGGTTAATCTTAGGACAAATATCTCCTGGGTTCTATGTGCCAGCTGGCCATCGTCTGCGCGTGGCATTCCATAGTCGCTAAGATCGACAGCAAACATGATGCGAAAGTTGCAGAACTGGTGTTTCTCACCGCCTTAGCCGTCATCTATATTGGATTCAATGCCGGGATTTGCTTTCACATTTATGCATTTGTAAGTATGGAATTTATTGGTGTGTCCAGTGAATAAAACCTACTTCAAAATTACCATTTATTCGACAGTCAGTGTTTAAACAGCGCGTGTAAAAAGTATCGTAAAGTAAGGTCCAAGTATTTGAGTTAAATCTATAGATAATTACCTATAAAGTGCAAGAACTATTGTCTTGCCTTTTGCCTCAATGGTGAAATAGATAAAATGCGACAAGGATCATAAAGGGTTGGAAGGAGCTTATGAAAGAGTCAGGAGGTATGTATTGATGCGAATATGAAGGGTGCCACAAAAGCGTATAGTTTATAGTTCCAAATTGCAAAATGAAGTTGTGTTTATATGCAATTATCTCATCCCATGAGATAATAACAATACAAAATCTAAGTAAACATTGCTTTATAGATTCATTTAGTCTTTTTTTCTGTTATTAAAGGCGCTTTTGTTACAAAAGTGCAACCCCTGCGTGAAACGTGCAATCCAAAAATAGTGCGCGCGCAACCTTCCATGTCGGGCAACCTAGATCTGTTATCGTGACTTTTCCTCACCTCTTACCTGCAAAAATTAGTTCAGCATGTTGTGTGAACACAGCTTATCGTATGTATTGGCTGTGTATGCTGTGCGCTGGCGGATCCAGGTTGTCAGTCATGGGAGGGGGGAATTAGACTTTGCTCCTTCGCTCTCGACCCCGTCCCTGGATCCGAAGGTAAGAATTTTGGCACGCCTGCCTTGGATTGGATTCACAGCGCACAAATAAACCTCTTTTCATGATTTCCACGTGGAGCTGGGCAAAGGAGGTATTCAGAACGACGTTACTTAAACGTCTATAATTGTATCCTACTAAAAATAGTCAAACGGTATTTCGTAATTTTATATTTTTAGTTTTTTTAGTCGTTACCAAATATTATGTTTTGATGTTTACAAATTATCAAGTGATTGTGCCTGTGTTTTTCTTTTATATTTCTTTGTACGTAATGAAGAAAACGTTTATTCAGTTTTGAAATTCAAATAATGTATATATTATTACATATTTCATGAAAAACCCCTAGGTCGTTTGATGGTGCAACTTTTTTGTTATGTTCTGCATATATCTCTCTTAATTGGTCGATTTGACGTATAGTAGAGGAAACCAACCAATCAAACGAGAGAGATAACCCGCACAAAAACGAAGTAGATACTCCAGCGCAGTAGACTACTGCAATCATACTGCAAACATGCTTCAAATCTGCTTCGAAGTGGGAGCTAATTAGCATATTTGAAACATGCTTCTATCATGCTGCTAATCTACTGCATTAATGCTCCTCCTCTGTACAACCCTATGTAATTTTTGAAGTAGAATTGCAGTAGACTATACTGCATTTCTACTGCAAATATGCTCCACACCTCTACTGCGTTAATGCTTCTTTGCTACTTCGATACTACTGCATTTTCGTGCGGGAATGCGCAAGCGCCATTTTTTTTTTGGTTCCGGTTTCAGTTCCATCAGCGCCTTTGATCTCTAATTGTGACCTCTTCCGTCTACTCCAGGCTTGCAAAAGACGAAGAATTATGAAGCAGAAAGACAGAGAATACATGGTAGGTGCCTTGATCGCACAACTTCATGGAAAACCTTTTACAGACTTCTTAAGTAACCATCCAAGGAATACATAGGCATGTATAAAAGTACGAAGGATAGCTATTTTGTAAATACGTGTACTTTTTAACTTATATAACTTTTCGTTATCACTATCGTATATTTGTAACAAAAACTTAACTTACACCCTTACTCATAATCTAAAACTAAGATACATCTGTCTGCTTCTTAACTAAACTAACACCCCTTCAAGTTCCTCTTATCCTTGCGATACTCTTAAAAAAGACTGGCACTGATAAAAAAAAAACAAGAAGGTGAATTGCGTTGCCAAAAATATGATGACGAATCAAATTTAACGTTACATTAATGCTAGTAATACGGCAATAATCTGGCAAAGGCTTTGGTGCGCCAAAGCAAAAAAAGTGAGGAATTTTACTTTGTTGTGGACAGTACCTACCCTGAGCTTTATGGGTCGGTTTCAGAAAACGGCCATAGCCTGAAAATTGGTCTTACCTTTTTGGAAAAATTTAAGTCAACTTTAGTTCAATATAAATCCAAAGTTGTTCGCTTAAATGAGCTAAGTGTTGGTCTGGAACAGTTACCATGCACGTCGCGTATAAAACAGGTACAAGTTTTCATTTACTGAGACTACTGCCGATTTACATTAAGTCAAAGATTTGGTCTTTTAAAAATTTAAAAATTCAGACCAAATTTTAGACTATATCTATTTCATGAAACCGATCCAGTCAGTTGATATTATATCGAAAGATATTGAGAAAGACGAAGTGAAACCGCTTTGAAATCCTACATATTGGCCACCCGTGCTTAATAAAATTGATACCATAAAATTATATACCGGAAACCGTTTGAGACATCCACCCTCGTTTCCCTTCAGCTTGACATTATTCACAATGGTCCTTTAAAAGACTCTACCGGTGACAGATTGATGTATCCGCCCTATTCCTTTATAGCTTGCCAATATTCACAGTGAATGTTCTTTTATTTTTAAGTGAGAACCGCTAACTACGCTACCAAAATGTAGTCCATGTCATATAAAAATGCATTTGTATTATTACGCAATTTACATTTTTTTATGTTTTAGTTATTACAGATCAGTCGTTGATAAGGTTGGACCATACTCAATGTGTTTGCTTTATGTTAGTTAATTTATTGCACTTTTTGAAACTATGTTAGTAGCATATTGGTTGAGGTATAGCTAGCTTATAGATACAAACTAACGCACCTTTAGTATGCAGATAGTATTCGTTGATAGTCAGAATATCACACACTTTACAGGCCTTTTTACATCGAGCAGTATAATTAAGTGATAAAGTTGTATCGGTACACTTGATAGATTTACAACTCAATAGCCCGGCCGTTACGTAAAAGTCCCCCACGCGCACCTGACACAGCCTGCAAATCAACTTCTGACGGCGCGAATTTGTGAAAGCAAGGAAAAGGCCTGCACCGTACCGTAATAAGCGTAATTAATATGTAGCGTAATTGCATGAACTACGATCCTCAAAGAGTAGTGGTAAAGTTAATTCGCTGCAGTATAACGCTCCATGTGGAAAAGGCCTACGTGAAAATTAAAATACTATTTAACAGAAGCTAGAAAAGAAAGTTATGAAAGGCATCTGATGCATTGTACCTGAACGTTACGCGATTCTATCCCGTTTAAAACTGATAAACGTTGAAATAAAAAGCGATGACATTAAGATTTATATTACATAGTATAAAAGTATTTGAGATTCTTGCAAAAGGAATATGAAATTAGAAAGATAGAGGGAAATTTGGATGAGAGTTAAATTAAAGTTAGATTTTATATCAGAAGTCTTTAATCACTGAACGTCAATTAACCTTATTTATGAAAGGCAGAATAACCGTGGTTTTAATTATAATTTATGACTAACTGAACACGTTAAAATGGATGATTTCTATTCTAAATTGTATGAATAGCGACCCTGTCGGTCAACAATAATTTGGAAAAAAATTGTCTGATGTGGTAAACGTACAATCCTTTGAAAGCAGTTTTTAACTCCGTGCATGAGCACACACTACTAAATGTATTCATGATATGGATTTGCACCCCTCTCTCCCCACCCACGCAACGAAAATGTTTATCTGTTGTAGTGTTTTAAGGCCTATTGTGTTTTAAGAGCATGACAACTCCCAAATGATCGTCCCATAAATATTTGTTTTAAACATTGAATTAGTTGATTTTAAAGGGGTCAGTCAATGCTAACTATGCTTTGAACTTTGTATAATGGACGTAACAATGGTCAAAATGGAGATAATTTTGCATCGCAAGTTTTAGTCACAAATGCAGCATTTGCTAAGGGGTTGTTGGATGCCAATAGTATACACAAGCCGAGTTACCAACGTATGTAACACTATTACAGTTTTTTAAACATAGTAAATTCACAGTTGAAAATACAAAATGCAAGTTCCATGACTACAGATTTATAAATCCTAACATACCGATCACTATGTTTATCTTCCCTTCTTTGTTTTCTTTACAAAATATGTTGATTTGTTTGACAAGACTGTGTTTTAGAATACCAGCCCGTTGCTATCCCCTAAAATAAATTTCACAGCTTTAGCAGTTTCGAAACGCATGATTGGTATTGAACAGTGAACAGTATGATTTGTCATAGCCCTTTAACCAATTTTGAAAAGTGAAGTAGCACTAACATTCGATCAAAACTAACGCTTTAAATATCTATTCAAAATTAATTCCTTAGATTCAATCTAGTACCCCTTTTTTAAAGCTAATTTATGAGCATTTTCTGTAAAAATATCTACAACATATACAGCAACACCAACTAAAGAATAAAAGTAGAACACCATGAGTTTTTCATGTTGAAAACATAATCCTGTACATGAAATATTTTGCCTCTCGTAGGTCAAGAATTTTCTACGTAATATGCACAGGTAAGCAGGACTTGACGCAAGTTTGCATGACGTCACAACCTGCATGACGTCACCAATCGGTTGGGCTTTCTTCAGTTATGGTTATTTTAGTATTTTTATTTCACATTTATTATGATTATTTATTTCTGCAGTTTAATTTTAGTTTTGTGGCAAACTGGCTTACAGAACATGTTCATACACACGGCAGACTTAACTTTAACAAAGCATGTCTAGGTTTGACGGGCTACGAGTGGATCCAAGTTTCCAAGCATGAAAAAAGTGTTTCTTTAATAATTGATCGAAATTCAAGCCCATGTAATGAATTCGTTCTTTCAAGCAATATTCTAATTGACACGTTTTTCCAAACTCACCTTATTTATTTGGCTTTTTGTTGAGCTCACACTTGGTTGGCTTCATGATGACAAAGTTTATACCCAACGCTGTGCTGTGCAGTTTGAATAAGATATACCATAGAAAACGAACGATCCTCACTTGCAGTATTTTCATTATATAGGATATAGTCTGATACGCAATTCACTTCCATGAACATCAAATACAGGCATAACACTAATTGTCTTGGTAAACAGCTTGATTTAAATCTATGCCAATATTCTTTATTTTCTTCGAGAACTTTTTCTCCGCCCTTTAATAGTAGTGTACAAGTTATTGCTCTGTATGTTAAGCTATGTAAGTTAAGAGGCATGCCTTACATTTGCGCACTTTACGCAATTGCTATAGGAAAATATGCAAAAATTATATGTAGAGAGCCTGACTTTAGTAAGGATATTGTGATATGCTGGATAATTATCTTGGTAAAGGGTGAAATAAAGTGTAAAAGATATTGATTGAAGAGTTCATCGTGCCATTTTCCTCGTGAAAAAAAAAATGGTCTGTAGCGTATTCAATGAAATAAACACTCATGGCCATGCGTTCAAAGGCACTGTTTGCATGACAAACTATATATATATATATATAACTTTTTGGCTGTTAAAAGATGAAAACCCCTTAATTTTGGATGTGCGTATCTATATAAAGAATTTGGTGTTCTAATGAAAAACACCGCGTGGCTAATGTAATGCCCATTGGCTTGGTGAAGTTTAATTTCCCTTGGCGTGTGACATTGGATAACTAAGGAATATGAAGTTTTTTTGTGCATGGTTTCCAGTATCAAAGTTGCGGTGTAACACCACCCCCTGGAGGCAAGTTGTGGTGCATTTTTACTCTATAAAACTCTTGCAGCATTCCTCACGTTCACAAAACTAGGTTTATTGCAGTGAAATGCACATGCCTTCCCATCGCTACAAAATAACGTCTGAAACATAAATTCTGAATAATTTGAAACTTTGTGATTTTGAATAACACTTTCTTTTCTTGTATTTCCCACAGGAGAGTGTTGCCCGCCACCAATTATCAAAGCAGTACTCTTCAAGCTCCGCCAGCGGGGGGCACGCCATCCACCCCCCAGATATCACCGCAAACTCCCACAACAGGACACCGCCAGGCGGGGCCAAGCATCCTTCATTCGTGTAGCACTGCCCCGGTTCTTCTGACCACCGAGACAACCACCACGGATTCCGACAAAATAAAGAAAAAGGGGGAGAGTACAGTGGCGGCACCTGGTGGTCCTTGCCAAAATAACTGCGTGGAAAACACGGTCAGTGATAAGACACCACCTGAGAAACCTGAACGTAGTAAACCGGTGATATTCACGTAGCGTTATGTAATGACGTGATTGTGTGACGCCACCCCTTTTTATGAATGTTATTAAAAAAACATGACGATGATGCAGAATTTAAAAGGTAAATACGTAACGACAAGTCCATATAGAGTTGACAAAATCCCGTAAGTTGTACATAGATTATTTCATGACCCGGATGCTGTTGATGGTTAGTGCTGATTTATTGTTGCCATGGAGACAATGTGATGTAATCTAACCCCATATTTACAAGCATATTGACGCCACATTGACGTCATGGATACAAATCAAGACGAAACGTCTGCGGATGCGGCTTAAAAAGGTAAAGGACGTTTTGATAAGAGTCGTATTTGAGGATTATGTTGAAGAAACTGTCTGGTGAATCAAGCTGGGGCATCTGACGAAAAAAACGGCGATGCATCCAGATGAAGTTGCTGGCCAAATAGGGTGTATTTTTAAAAGAATGTAATGCTATAGAAAAAGACAGTATAATGCAAGTTCTCGGTGTTACGTGTGTAACCCACCGTTAGATTTTCAACTTTCAAATACAGAATGCAGAAAAGTTAATGAAAGCGCCAATGGTGAATTTGAGAACTTCTTATAAGAGTTGGTCTTGATAGATGTTTGTCTGTGTGTTGTGTTTCTTCCAACAGATTTGATGACTCACTTCAAGTTTATTGTCTATTTATGGATTTCTAATCGCTGCAGCTTGGTTGATTTAAAAAAACTGTGATATAGTGTTCAACTCGAAGCGAGTCACATCCGAAATGAGAAACTACCAGTGGGACTAGGGCATAAATCTTGTCATATAGGACTTGAGCCCCGATATTCCTCCTGAGCCGCGTTCAAGCTGTGCCTAGTTTGTGGTTTGAATACCATGTGGCAATATATAGTGCAAGGTCGGATGAAATATCCGGTAAAGCCTTAGTTGATAATATATATCGTTCACAAATGTGCGTCTTTGCGCCTTACCTATGCTAAACTTGCAACAAACGATAGTGATGACGTTGACATGTAACTATCAAGTGATATAAACGTAGAACAGCGCTTTCGTTTTCACAAATTAAAAACGAAACATGCCGGTATTTAATTTATCTTGTAGTTTTATTATTCTCCTTCATTAATGTAGGAAGGAAGGTAAATTTAGCGACAGGAGCCAGTGCTTGACAAGCAACCTGTGGCGATGGGCTTTGCCTAATATACACCTTTTTAAAGTTACTCTGAAGCAATTACCAACTGCTTAAGGCGCTGTTATTCCTGCATGGCGAAATGTACGCTGTATGTAATATACATAATATGCACGATTATTATGATGCTGGTACTCCAGTACTCACCTTAAAAATTACGAGACTCAGAAAACCCGCTGTGCTTTTTATGGTGTAATTTCCTTGTTGTCAATGCCGAATAATGAATGATAGAATAGCAAACTGCATAAGCGTGTTGATACTATATTTGCGCTTGTGATGCTACATTAACTGTAAATGTATAAATGTGGCCTTGCACAGCACTCTCTTTCTCAGAGTTATACATGTTACTCTTCTTTACACAGCGTACGCTTATCATAACTGTTTTATTTCAACGGGTATCGCAAGCACGTGCTCGTGTAAGGGGCGACATGGGGGAGGCTTGGATATTCAGGGTGCCGATATGGTATTTCGCAATGTACGTTCTAGTGGAGCAAGCCGAGTTCGCAACTGATTCTTTGTAGTACTGGCGTTGCTGCACCTTGTTATATGTAGACATATCTTGCCTCTGTGAACAAATACCGTACTCGCCAAAGGTGTTAAGTTTTAAGACTACTAAGTCTCTTATCATGTTTGTTATGCTTGTGATTCGGTACTGATAAAATATTGAATTTACATACCAACCTTTAGCAGCAAGTAGAAACAATGAAGCTTTGAATATTAGGGTTGTTCACGTTTTCGAAACCAATGAAACCACGTACTTCATTGGTCTGTGTATATACATATATGTACGTTTGATAAGCATACATTAAGTTCTTTCATTGGTGTGATCCACTTTGTGTCTAGACGTACTGGGTTCGTAAGTGGTTCTGTTAGGTTAGTTGTACTGTTTATATGCCTTTAAACGTTAAGTTTTGTATCGGACATATTGTCTGCAAGAGGTCTGTTCAGTTTGTTTCTGTGTTCAGTTGGTACATATTCTGTACACGTTTATTGTTATCAACTTGCTTAGCACCATGGGTGTTGCCGTTAAATCTCTGAAGCACTTTGTTCAGGCAACTCTTCGGGCATAAAAGCCTGATAGGACATCTGGGGGTCTTGGTGGAAAGGGGGTGAAACGCTTTAGATACAAAATAAGCAGAACAACGTAGATTACAGTGGGTAAGACACTGATCCAACGTAATGTTTTCCGGACTTTAATTCCAGGACTTATTGTTGATTTGAAAAGTAGTGGCAAAAAACGGCGGATGGCATTGGGCAACAATTCTTTCTGGTTTACGGCATCCGTTAGGAAAAAACTGATTTTGTCTGATTTATCAGATAAGAGACTTCCTCGTTCCTGCACAGATTTTCTAGACATCAGTTTATCTACATGCCTAGTATACCTCTGTAAAAAAGGAAGCCCCATCTATCATCTTATCAAAATGCCTCTAGCAGTTTGGGTATGTATATGACGTAGCATCTTTCAATACTGATAGGCCAAATGAAAAGCCGGATGTGACGTAAACAGAATCACCAAAATTTGTGTCAGCGATTTGGGCCAAGAAAACGTGTATTTAACATTGATTTTGCATTGGATTTGCTGCATTTGATCTGAAAAAAAAAACTTTTGTAAAATATCTTATTTGAATTTACTCTGGTAACAACGCAGAGAACACAATCATTATTTCTACTTCTAGTTTGAAAGGCCGTGGCCTCTTGTTCGTATTTCTAACTAAGGATAAGAACAAAAATATTATACCTCACATAATCCTATTTTTTTCAAGGGGAACAATAACTTTTTTACAATAATAATATTCGTGCAACACGATGCAGTCTCTATACGCTTGAATGGAAAGGCTTCAAACATAGTTTTTTTTCGAAAGTTGCACAAGTAATTGACTTGTTCCACGTAACAGCTTGTAAAATACCAAGGTTGAGCGATTTCCGTATCGGAAGTCTTGCAAGACATGGAATGGTTAGGCTACTACGTGGTGTTGAGAGTCTTGGTCGAACGATTAACCTATGTTACCTTATGTAGGCCTATTTATTTCGGATTATGAAATAAAATAAAGAAACTCTCTAACATAAACAAAATACAAATTATAGACACTGCATCACGGGGAGATAAGGTCCATTAAATAGCATAATAGTACGAAATATCAGAAGGTTGTGACCTCTATTCATCAATCACGGGATTGGTGCCAAGTGTGGGCTTGTTAATAGAAAATGATCCAAAAATATCTTCCACGCTTGTTCGACAGAGAAATTGGCATTTAACATTCGAAGGATGCGTAACAGCAATACTTCGAACCCCGTTTACATAATTCAAGATGAAGAAATCTGATCCAAGGCCCCCGTCCATCGTACAAGTGACGTCAAGTACAAAGACTTTCAAGATTGCGTAAATAACGTATGATTTGAAGCATTAGCAATGTCTTTTTCTATTTCCAAATCGGCACAATATTTCATTCAATTGGACCGGTTTACCTTCAATCAAAGTAAATAAAAAATTGTTCTTTACATTAAGACCAATTTTCTTGGTTAAGTTATTTTGGGAAACGGGCTGATTAGTGAACAAAGTTGTTTTCACGATAGGTGGAGCGCGAATCAATACTTGCGTTTTAAGGAGGTGCTTCAGACGACAACATCCATGATGTCAAAGGCAGATAAAATTGTACTTATGTTATTGTGATTAAAGGGCTATCCGTGAGAATTTTGTCGCCTTTATTTCATTTCTTTCTTTTTAAATAACCTGTAGTCAAGTCAAAAGGGCATGTTGCACTGCTTACAGTGCGTGTTCTACTTAAATGGATAGATCTGCTCAAAAACGGGACTTTGCACGAGAGTGAAATACAAGTAATGCATTTGATCGCCCATTGAAGTCCAAGTGAAGAGAAAGGTAGTCTTGAAGAAGTACATTTAGAGTTTGGAACTTATGAGGGATGATCAGTAAAAACCCAAAAAAGCCGATGATGCAGATTTATTTTTGCGACAAATTTTCACGGGCAGTCCTTTTACCTGTTATTCGTACACTGCAATGTGTATTCCTTAACCAAACTTTCAACTATCACAACATTCCTGACTCCCGTTGTTTATTTACTTTATTAATTTTTAAATGTTTTTCTTCTGTTTTGAACCCCACACGATCTCCTTTGACACACACGTATTTATACACATACAACCAATTTTTCACATTTTAAAGAAATCATATATGTTTTTCCTGTGTAAACTGCAACATCATTTTTAGGTCGCCAGTTCAGTTGCTGTATTTAAATGGTGTAGATGACATCATCAGTGTTTGTGTTAAAGTTGATGACATCCTCATTGCTTGTGTTCCTATATCTGACATCATGGGCCGAAGTGTTATTATGCAATTACCAGCAATGCAGGTATAACATTATGATTGGTTCTTTTGAATGGAATATATTTTAGTATCAAATGAGTCCAAAGCTTGGATGGAAAACTGGTACTTTACATCTANTTGTTATCAACTTGCTTAGCACCATGGATGTTGCCGTTAAATCTCTGAAGCACTTTGTTCAGGCAACTCTTCGGGCATAAAAGCCTGATAGGACATCTGGGGTCCTGGTGGAAAGGGGGTGAAACGCTTTAGATAAAATGAGCAGAACAACGTAGATTACAGTGGGTAAGACACTGATCCAACGTAATGTTTTCCGGACTTTAATTCCAGGACTTATTGTTGATTTGAAAAGTAGTGGCCAAAAACGGCGGATGGTATTGGGCAACAATTCTTTCTGGTTTATGGCATCCGTTAGGAAAAAGCTGATTTTGTCTGATTTATCAGATAAGAGACTTCCGCGTTCCTGCACAGATTTTCTAGACATCAGTTTATCTAAACGCCTAGTATATCTCTGTAAAAAAGGAAGCCCCAACTATCATCTTATCAAAATGCCTCTGGCAGTTTGGGTATGTAGGCCTATGACGTAGCATCTTTCAATACTGATGGGCCAAATGAAAAGCCGGATGTGACGTAAACAGAATCACCAAAATTTGTGTCAGCGATTTGGGCCAAGAAAACGTCCATTTAACATTGATTTTGCATTGGATTTGCTGCATTTGATCTGAAAAAAAAAAAAAACTTTTGTAAAATATCTTATTTGAATTTACTCTGGTAACAACGCAGAGAGCACAATCATTATTTCTACTTGTAGTTTAAAAGGCCGTGGCCTCTTGTTCGTATTTCTAACTAAGGATAAGAACAAAAAATTATACCTCACATAATCCTATTTTTTTTCAAGGGGAACAATAACTTTTTACAATAATAACATTCTTGCGACACGATGCAGTCTCTATACGCTTGAATGGAAAGGCTTCAAACATAGTTTTTTCGAAAGTTGCACAAGTAATTGACTTGTTCCATGTTAACAGCTTGTAAAATACCAAGGTTGAGCGATTTCCGTATCGGAAGTCTTGCAAGACATGGAATGGTTAGGCTACTACGTGGTGTTTAAGAGTCATGGTCGAACGATTAACCTATGTTACCTTATGTAGGCCTATTTATTTCGGATTATGAAATAAAATAAAGAAACTCTCTAACATATTAAACAAAATACGAATTATAGACACTGCATCACGAGGAGATAAGGTCCATTAAATAGCATAATAGTAGGCCTACGAAATATCGATCAGAAGGTTGTGACCTCAATTCATCAATCACGGGATTGGTGCCAAGTGTGGGCTTGTTAATTGAAAATGATCCAAAAATATCTACCACGCTTGCTCGACAGAGAAATTGGCATTTAACATTCGAAGGATGCGTAACAGCAATACTTCGAACCCCGTTTAATTCAAGATGAAGAAATCTGCTCCAAGGCCCCCGTCCACCGTACGACAAGTGACGTCAAGTACAAAGACTTTCTTGCGTAAATAACGTATGATTTGAAGCATTAGCAATGTCTTTTTCTATTTCCAAATCGGCACAATATTTCATTCAATTGGACCAGTTTACCTTCAATCAAAGTAAATAAAAAAATATTGTTCTTTACATTAAGACCAATTTTCTTGGTTAAGTTATTTTGGGAAACGGGCTGTAGTGGTCATTAGTGAACAAAGTTGTTTTCACGATAGGTGGAGCGCGAATCAATACTTGCGTTTTAAGGAGGTGCTTCAGACGACAACATCCATGGTGCCAAAGGCAGATAAAATTGTACTTATGTTATTGTGATTAAAGGGCTATCCGTGAGAATTTTGTCGCCTTTATTTCATTTCTTTCTTTTTAAATAACCTGTAGTCAAGTCAAAAGGGCATGTTGCACTGCATACAGTGCGTGTTCTACTTAAATGGATAGATCTGCTCAAAAACGGGACTTTGCACGAGAGTGAAATACAAGTAATGCATTTGATCGCCCATTGAAGTCCAAGTGAAGAGAAAGGTAGGCTTGAAGAAGTACATTTAGAGTTTGGGACTTATGAGGGTTGATCAGTAAAAACCTAAAAAAGCCGATGATGCAGATTTATTTTTGCGACAAATTTTCACGGGCAGTCCTTTTACCTGTTATTCGTACACTGCAATGTGTATTCCTTAACCAAACTTTCAACTATCACAACATTCCTGACTCCCGTTGTTTATTTACTTTATTAATTTTTAAATGTTTTTCTTCTGTTTTGAACCCCACACGATCTCCTTTGACACAAACGTATTTATACACATACAACCAATTTTTCACATTTTAAAGAAATCATATATGTTTTTTCTGTGTAAACTGCAACATCATTTTTAGGTCGCCAGTTCAGTTGCTGTATTTAAATTGTTTAGATGACATCATCAGTGTTTGTGTTAAAGTTGATGACATCATCATTGCTTGTGTTCCTATATCTGACATCATGGGCCGAAGTGTTATTATGCAATTACCAGCAATGCAGGTATAACATTATGATTGGTTCTTTTGAATGGAATATATTTTAGTATCAAATGAGTCCAAAGCTTGGATGGAAAACTGGTACTTTACATCTAAAAATGCCAATCAATAATTATTTCAACAAATGAATAAAAAAGAATTCTACACATAAATTTAAATGTATCTTTAAAGGCATTATGTGACCCAATTCATTAGTTCATATACCACTGGCACTTGTTTTCAACCTCTTGTTTTACTGAATCATTTGATTTCATTAATTGTTAAAATGTGATTTCAAACCAGTGTTACTTACCAAGATTATGTAATAAATGGCTTTTTTATTTGAAAATATTGTTCTTTATCCTTTGCCTCTGATATCCTTTTAGTTAAATTTGATATTTAAAAATATAAAGGAAGCTTTACAGCCATTCAAGCAACTTTGCTTTTTTTTTTTTTTTTTGGCATCACAAGAACTTGTTGGCAAGTAGATTGAAAATGTCCTAGTAGTGATAGTGGTGATCAAATATCCATAAAATACATAAAATAATGTCTATCAAAAAAGAAGACAATCCGTTTGTTGTGCCATTCAGTTGAACTTTTAAGTGTTAGGCTATAGATTTGCATATTAAAATAACATTATGCCTTTATTAGCCATGCACATTAAATTTTATTTTTTGTCCCTCCTCCCTATATTTAGGCTGTCATCACTTCCCCAATCCATCATTAACATGATGATTGTATTAATACTTTCCATACCACATAACCATATAATCATGAACAAGCAATGGATAAAAGAGGCAGTAGTACACAAAAAATTACTTTTTCAAAAAAAAAAAAAAAAAAAAAAAAAAAACTACTAGTAAAGTCTTTAAAATAATACAGAGTGAGTATAAGTTTAACAATAAATATTTGAAATATGAAAAAATTGATACTCACTGGACATTTGATTTAAAAACATCTGCTTCATCTTGATCAAGATGCAACAACTCTTAAGATTACAAATCTTTGGTGTAATAAAATCTGAAATCTTTGTTTTTAAACTGAACAAGAATAACATGAATTGTTTTACTTTCAAAATTTTGAAATGCCTCTCAAAAAGCACAGGCAACAGAAGGTTCATTAATTGAAACTGTAGGTAAGACTGAAATATATTTCAAGATCATTTATGTCATGCGTGTGCCACCCATCTTAATAATGTATTTAAAAAATTCAGATTAACAGTGGGCCAGTAGCCTCACTTCAGTCTATTGATCTGTTCCTCTCTTCACTAAGAGCCTTTACTCGCAGACTCCAAAAGTTCCCATGATGGTACTTTGCAAATCTTGATGAATATGTCACACAGGTACTTTGCAAATCAATATGAATATATCACACAGGTACTTTGCAAATCTTGATGAATATGTCATACAGGATGTCACTTATAGCTGATGATATGCCATAATGGTATATTACCACTGAACCAATTTGTGTGACAACTGTTTATTTCGTGCAAACTGCATACTGAAATACAATAATTTAAATATAATGTCATCTTGTGGCCTTAGTCTGCCAACATATGTGAAGGTGGTGGCGCCAGTCGTAGCTGGAATCTCTCGTTGTGGAGTAAACTTGTGGCAGCTGGCCTGTACCTCTGGTTGACTTCAGCTCTAGATAGCTCTTCTAAGAATGCCAACTAGAACAGAATAGAATATTAAAGAATAGAATAAAAGAACTGGGCCCCATAACTCGAAAGCATCGCGCATTGCGAACGAGCGCAACTGTCTCGATTCCATAACTTGCCCATACTGGCCCCATATAATACAATGCAGCCTCTATGTGATATTGCTATTCGCAATATGCGATGCTTTCGAGTTCCGGGGCCTTGGTCTGTAGGCAGGTTTGGGGTGTTTGGGGGGGGTTCAAACAAAACACCCTTTGGGTCAGAAAAAGGTTTGCCCTTAATCAAAATTTGATCTAGGTTCTACAGTATTTTGGTGAAAAGGGCCATTTTTTAGAAAAAATTCCTTTAAAATTTCTGGCATAACTACAGGCCTGAAATAAGATCCATTACATCCACGACATCGGCTGAATGGTGGGTTTGGCCATCTTGTTTACTAAAATGAGGCACCTTGTCCTCCTTCATCACATATCAAATTACATATAAAATTCCTTGGTGAGTGGCAGACAATACAATAAACAACCAGCATCAAGACAGTAACACTGCCAGCTCATTGTCCTGGACATTTAAATCATTTAATCAAATCCCATCTGCCCAGGTCTATGTTATTGCATACTCTAAGGAGTGAACTAAATGATTTTATGGCACGCGGCTTTGTCCAGAGGGACAGTTTGTCTTCGATGATTTGTTAAAACATCTGCTCAATATCTTTCACGTATTGTTATCTTAACAGAACAGTCACTTATCTGGAACTCGTGTTCCTTCTCATCACCTGATTGTCTTGATGTATTGATCATATATCAGGGAATGGTTTACCACAAAACGGCTTAGAATAACAGTTACTTAGTACAAGTATATGTACGTAAGCAAGATCTACTCTACAAAAACTGCTTTAACTCTAAGATAACTGCTAAAATGCATTTGTTGATAATTCAAGGAGTAAATTAGTAGTTCAAAACACTAGATTTTCTAGGATGGTCTGGTTCATAAAGAGACAAAACAAAAAGTTATTAATGTCCACAGTGTATAATGTGCAGAATTAAATCATTACAGAAAAACCTTACTTTATAATTCCTTCATACATTGTACTAGAACTTGTAGATTTAGCCATACAACATTGTTTGTTTCACATGCACATACTTATATGTATTTCACATTCATTACAACTTTTATTCATATATCATTGTCAATTCTCATTAAGCTTCATTTCTTTACTATAGTTTTGGACCACCCACCAACAAATCCCTATGATGCCCATGCAAATTGAGCACTGAGTAAATGGATACTTTCAACTTATGGGCTTCTTTTTACAGTAAACTTAGTCTGAAGTAACTTTAAGGGAGGAAAACTTTATTGCACTTTGACCAAAGACACACAAGTTCATCTAGTTTAATTTGTGATGAACAACTTGTGTCAGTCAATAAAGTCAGTAAGCAAACATGCAACAAGTTTTGGGCAAAATCAATAGAAAACCAAGAATGGCAATATTTTCATGGAAGCAGCATCAATTTACACACTTGAAACACTATCTTTGAGATCAATAGTAAAAACAAGCCTGGCAAAGGCTTGATTCACATTGACAAGGAGAACTAAGTGCATATAATTAAGAGTCAATCTTCATTTTCACCTTCAGAATTAGCAGTTTCCTACCTGCTACAATAACAGCATCAAACACTTCACTAAATAACCTATTTAGTAAATAAATAAATATTAACTTGATAAAATAAAGGACGTATAAAGTAATTTCTTTTCCCTTGTTTAAATGCAAACTACAAATAATTAAATTGTGCCAACCACTTTTCATTTTTTTTCTTTCCTTGAGTCCCATTAGCCAGAAATCATTTGGCAAGAAAGGCAGGAGAGAGCAATTATTTTTACTATCGTCAATTTGTGATAAATCTTTAGGTCTTGAATGAGGAATCATCATTTTGTGTACTCCATCAGTATGAAGCACTATAAAATAAAAGGAGAGGATACAAGTTACCTATTAATACAATTCTTAAATCTTCTGTAAATGAAAAATAAATCAACCTACCCTCGATGGAGTCTTCATCATTTTTCTAATTGTATCAACAGAATGGAGCTGCTCTTCATTCATCTGTATAGAAATAATATCATTCCAATAAAAAAAAATATTTATTGAAACTAAAATTCAAAGCAATTACTGAAAATACTTACCTTTTCAAAAAGAAAAGACAAATTGCATAATAAACTCTACAAATGATTCAGAAAAATGACAGAGTAGAATTAAATCTTTTATTATCCACTAAATGCTTAAGACATATCTCACAGATGTCTTCCAATTGTGAGAGAAAGAGGACAAATACTTTACCATAAAAACCCCTAGGAAAATTTTTGACCCACTATAAGAATTTTTTACAAGACTTTTCAATAATTATCTGAACTACATAAAAGACTTGATAACTTATAAGCAGAGAACAATTATTTAATGTGATGTTTCTGCAGAAATCCAATCATGCTTTGGTTTACGGATCAATCACTTTTTCTACCTCAATAATTTTCAACAAATTACTTTAATTAACCAAAATATATATTCAGCAAAAATTATGTACACTTCAATAAAACAGTTAAAGTAAGAGTTAAATAAGACAATTTTATAACAAAATACACAATCTAGTCCACATACCCTTGTCTCACTTTCTGACTCAGCAGCGTTTGCAGTGGATGGTCCAGAACTTGACCTCCTTATCCTAGTCATCTGAAGATGGCCACGCTTGGTGCTACTGCACAAATAACATGTCCACTGTTCTTGACCAATGGTCTTGTAAAATGAGCCCCGGCTTTTGAGACACTCAGCATGGTAACTGTGGCCGCATCTGGAATTGGTCCAATATTGTGCTTGTTGAGACAATACATTGTGCTAGTTTAGACAGTAAACATATATGATAAAGAGCAGTTGTGTTAGGGGTCTTAATGTGCTGGTTGTGAAATAAAAAAATTATGAAGATAAAATCCAGTCCAATGTCATCTTTTGAGACATATCTAACAAATTAAACATTTTCACCAGAACATGATTGCACATTAGTTGCAATTCACCTACAGACTAACAGTTTCACCAAATTTGACAATTACCAAATCTACCATTTGCTAGGCTGAGGTGGAAATGAAAGAATTCAGTTAAATAGGTGGGGCAAACCTACGGTGATAGTTTTAGTTTGGTAAGATGAAACAGTTTAGATTTGCTTCAGAAGAAAGACAGTTTATGGCTTGCCAATGAAAAAATATTATAATCAATTTACAATAGGATAGTGTCCCTTGAGTAAGCTGCTGCTAGGAAGATCAATTAATTTCATTAATTAACACAAAGTAAGGCTAATTGACCATGACAAGAACTGAGCCATACATGATGAATAATACTCAGAGCACTTATCATTTTATCAAATGCTATTTCCCAATTGAATTAGTTAAGACCTCATAAATTAGGGTTCCTAAAATATTTACAAAAAATGTTAAATAAATTGCAGATGTTAAAGTGAATTAATATCAAACATTCTTTAATTATAGGCACCCACTTAAAAGCTTATATTGCAATATTATAAAGGTACTTAAATCAATTTTTCACTCCATTTTAACAAAAAATGTTTAACACACCTGCAAAGGTGATAATAATAAGATTTGGAAAATTCTTTACCTAGTTTCCCCCTGACCTTTTCTTATTAAAAAAATTCAATGATTTCAATGGAAAGCAAATACAAACTTTGACTATTATAGAAACAGCCATATTTTTTAACCCTTGAAAGCGTTTTGTAATGGAATTGACTTCCAGCTAAATGACACCTTCAGAACCATTATCTGCCCTGTTTACAATGCCTTCAAAAACCACTTATTCGCTGTCAGATTTTGTCAATAGCCATCTTAAAAAACACTGAAATTTGCAACAACCTCTTATTTCACAGTCAAGCAACCTCAAATTTCCAAGAACAGATTAAACATTCGCAAATAATTTTCATCCTTTAAGGCCTTTTGTATTGATTTTGGGGTGTTTACCAACCACCCACAAAAATGGTAGCTTTCTATGTCCATTCCAGAATTCTCAGATTTCTCTTTCACAATTCTTCTCAAATCCTCTCCACATTTATCTTTTACCAATCACAGTTAACCTTACAATTTGGTGACATTTGCAAGAATCTTACAATTTCAATGGCAATAACTTCCAATTTCCAAGAAAAGATAAAAATAAGACAATCTCTTAATCCTTGAAGGTCATCACTACTGATCTTGGATGTTTGCTGAACAATAACTAAATGACAACTTTATATTCTTAGAACATATGCAGCCAATTTTTTTTATAATTTCACAGTCAGGCAACTGCAAATTTCCTAGAAGAAATAACAACTAGACAAATCTCTTTATCCCTAAAAGCTGTCACTATTGATTTTAGATGTTTGCTAACCTTGCACTAAACGATATACCTCAGCTCTTGGCTTATAATGATCAATCACAATTTGGCTCTTCGCTGGTTTAAGAAAAAAGGTTTATTGATTCTTTATTCAGTGTAGTAATAAGACATCTTCTCTCTGGAAGCCATTATGAGCACAAGATGTCTCATGATATCAATTGAAAACTTTCATAGCTTTTGTGTGAGGGCGGTTGCTAAGTACATGAAGATGGAAATAGAAATCACGGTGAGAAACAAGGTATAGACAAGACCGCTTATCAGAATAAATCAATACACATGTATGACTCAAATATAAATATAGCTGTAAAAAAACTAACAAAACACATGTAGAGACCTTTCATTAGCGACTTCAACAAGTTTTGATTACACTAACTAAAATAAAAAAACATGAATGGAAAGGCTAATAAGGCATTTAATCACTAAAAGAAAAAGTACTGAAAATGTGATTAAAACCCCTTTTAATGGAATATTTTGCATTACTGAATAAATTGACATCTTTAATTTAAACAATTAAACAACATATATCAAAAACTGTTCTAATATACTGATAAAACTACAATTAAGAGAATTAATTGTATTTATGTAGCAAATGGTTTGTTTTAGTGGTGCTATTAACTTTTTGGTAATACATCAACGTTTTGTTTGGGTCTTGTGTCTGCACATTTTGACCTTAAGTAGTTGACCAAGACAAGGTGATAACAGATGTCCAGGGTTAAGGAATGTCTTAGCTGCTGTGTATCTAGGCACACACAAGTATATTCTATGGATTAATTCCATCGAGCTGCATTCAGTGAGAAAAAACAGAGCTTCGTTGTGCTTGTGAACATTTGGCTACATAAATAGGAAGATGCCATATGCATGAACTGCGCGCTGTTAAAATCTAAACAAACAAATCAATAAAAGAAAAGAAGATATAGCAAGCAAACCGATAAAAACAATAGAGAAACAAACAGGCAAACTGATTGTGGGGTTGCAGACAGACAGACAGAGCAAGTCAAACAGTCCTTCTCACCTGAACACAATAACAGCTCCATTATCTGTAATGTTCACAAAGAGCTTAGCACACAGATTGCAGCCGCCCTCCTTGGGCACTATGGCTCTGTTGGCAGCCGCTTTCAGTCCAGCTAGCTGCTGGTGTAAGTCATGGTTGAGGAGGCTGTTACAAGTGTGAAGTAATGTCTAGAATGAGATATAAACTGGCTAACAGATAATCACTTTCACGAACAATTATAAAATATAGAATTATGATTACGTGTACCATATTGAGAAGGATGAGACAAGCATATACAGCTGTACTGTAAAATTACCCAGATTTTGTAGCCCTGTGATGTCAATATACATGTCATTATAAAACCTGTCTAACAGTTGTGAATGTTGTGGTTAACTTCAATCAAATGCTGGTGAACATCAAAATATGCAACAAGCAGACATGTCTGAAAATTTGAAAATGAAGAAGCTGGTACACATCATCTGTAAAACTAAGCATAGTTTTTTTTAAAGAAAAATGCCTTTAAAATTACAAGGTTTCCTGGGTGTATGAACATACACATGCTTATAGATGTACACATACCGTTTCATAGTTATACGTGTCTAGCATCCCCATAATGAGTTCTCGAACTTCTCCAAACTTCCCGTTACTGTACGCAGGGTCCTGCATGATCTTCTGCAAGATGGCAGGCATGGAGATGTATCCCATCATGCTGTTCAACACATGGGAAGTCAGCTCCTTGAATGCTATATTGAAAGTCAAAGTTTATTTATATTAAAATCCTACGCAATTTAAAAGCATGAGGAAAGGCAGCTACAGAATTGGTATATTTCATTCAAACATCATAATTTTTCTAAGTTTCCGTAGATGTGTCACCAAGAGAAAGAAAACTGGTAAATATGTTTATTTTGTTATTACCTTTATCCACATTATTTTACATTTACCATGATGCTTAACACAAAAAACACAGCTTGTACTGTGGATTCACTAATTATTAATTTGCTTGGATGACACCTGTAGACAACATACAAAACTGTCATTCTTACAGACAGGATAAATAATTATTTGGCTGATTATTATGGATATTTGAATTTCTGGAGATTTCTCTTGATATCAGTTAACTGAAATATCACAAAAAATCCACTTAGCAAATTAACTGACAAAATAACACTTTAACATTAACGTTACTATATTAATACTTATTCATCAAACTAGATAAAACTGCTACAATATGAAAAGAGAAGATAAAAATACTTGATTGACTGTTTTAAGATAACCTCACCATCCAGGTGTTGTTTATTGATGTCATCTTTGAGGCGTCGTTGTGGGGCCATCATGGCCTCAAAAAGGGGAAACCACAGTTTCTGCAAAAATCAAAGCAGAACAAAATTCAATGTTGAAAATAAGCAACAACCATGCAATAAAGTTCATTACACACAGTATCACAGTCCAGCTGGCCAAATGCTGATATGAAAATACTTGTTCATGTTTTAACTAAAGAGAAACTTTTTCACCAAATCAGTGACCACTCTACAAAAATATTTCCTTTTTGCATTATCTTAAGCCATAGTAAATTATAGTCATATTTAAATTAAAACAAACAGTATTTATATTCTTATGAAAGTGTGAGAAAAGTAAATAAAAATAAAATAAAAGTAGTTTAATCATTCTAAAGTGTATCAGCAAATTTAAAGGCTTCCACACCCTTTACCAAACATTTTTTGATAAAAACAAGCATGGAACAGGACACCATGGCAAACATTGTATAGTATAGTAGTTCAGCTCTCCCTAAAAAACCTTTCAACAGACGTGATCTTTCATGATCAGAGAGAATTTTAAGGTTGGCAGAGTGATGTGACCTTTCAAGGGATGAATTACTTTGAATTCCCTGGATATTACAAGACCAGTAAACAAGTTAACTTATAAAGAAATGAACTGATGAATGGGCTGTCAAATTAATACACCCAAGTTATTAAGTCTTGCCTCTGTAGTACACATTATTAAATTGATGTAAATTTGAACATTATATTCATTTAAGTCATTTCCATATGTTAAAACCCCAGAAAATATTGGCATATAAACCTTCATATAAACTTTGCTTAAACATTCTAGGTGTTTCTTCTGAATGGTTGGACCCTATACTCTTTATAAACTGAACTTGCAATTAAGTAAATATTGCAGGACTTGGGGAAACAAAAGATATAACTACTCATGAAAATTCATAAATGAATAACAAAGGTCATAAATGAATACCATAAATTCTTCACAAAAACTATAAGAATCCTCAAGTTAATATGACGAAAGATGCCCAAATCAGATAAATGGGACAAGATTAACAGCATAACTGAATATGTTGTGTTCTACATATTAGCAGACTGTTTTATTAATAGATCAACTGACAATTGCATTTAGATAAGATAAGAGTTTGCAGGCAAATTGAAGAAAAAACACCAAAAAAAATTGAAAACATCCAGCAGAGGTCACAGTCCAAAACTGGTCATCTGTAATACAGATACTGCTCATGTACAAGTATTAAATTTCAAGTTCAAAGCAAAAGCAGATGATCCAAACATCTCAACAGTAAACGGAGTATACACTAGCATAAAACCTTGTTAAAACCATGTCAGTCTCACCTCCCTCTCAGCTTCATCAATTTTGCTGGAGTTTCTCTGACAGAGCTGTATAAGGACTAGTAATACTGCCTGCAGTGAGCTGAAAGCCACTTTGATATCTGAAAAAAAGAAATAAAATAAAGTAAAAGAACTGACCAGCAATAACTGGCAAACAGACAGACCTGTGGCAGTTACTGTATCAAATGTGCCAGCAAGTTACCCAATAGAAACCATTGATATATTACAGAGAAACCCAACTTAACCATAAAAAGAGGAGGGGGGAGGAGGAGAAGGAAGGAAAGGGGGACATCCAAGCAGAGCAACTGTGGAAGGACTGAAAATAATTATAACATTTAGGAATTTGAAAAGAATAGTAAGAACATATACTGTATATTTGCATCACTGTCAATGCTGCTATACAGAGGATGTTACAAAATAAACAATTTTGTAAATAAATATAATCATGCAGAACAAATCTTTCTAAAAAGAAACAAATTCACAGATGCTATATTTCCAAACTTATTCTGTAATCCCATTAAAACTGATGCTTTTGATGTGGAAACCAAACTTAATCCCTCCTAAACATTACACATCCTAACTGAAGAAGCAAATGAGAATTCACAGATGCTCTATATGTTTCCACATATCAAACTTATTCCGTAATCCCATTAAAACTGAATGCTTTTGATGTGGCAACCAAACTTGATCCTTCCTTATGATTACGCATTACAACTGCCATTTTATGCTTAAACACAGCTTAACCTAGCACTCAGTCTTAATAACACTCAATTAGAATGAGTCAAAGCACTTATTTAGAGCAAAACATGCATCACAGTCAAACCACTCTCAAAATATCCAAAAGGTGAAAGGTGGTAATGAGAAAATTTCTGGTAATGTCTGGTCTTGACATCTTTCCCATTTGCCAAGCTGTTGATAGCAAGATCAGGCACTGCAAACATCTATGATGGAATAAAGTTGATTAACACTTTTTTTACTCTGGGTTATATCACTCAAAGTTTGTATGAGCCTTTAAGTTACCTGTAGTTGTTATCAGTTTGACATAAGTAATCGAGAGCTCAAATTAGCTTTCAGTGGATCTTAATAATTCTGAGAAAAGGAATGTAAAACAATTTAATCTTAAATATTTACCTGGATTTATGAACTTACATCAGACTATCAGTGATGATAAAAATGAGGGTAAATAATGTTATATTTCTCTTTGAATGCCTAGGATGGCGAGAGAAGGGGTCAGATACATGTACTGAAAGTATTGCTGATTTATTAGTATTCCTCAGATTTATGAAAAATTGCCATATATAAATATATTTTAAAATAAAAAATCAGCAAAGTGTATAGTGAATGTTCTCATTTTTTACATTTTAAATTTTAAAAAATTCTGACAGGGAAGGAAAGACTATTTATAATATCAATATATTCTAATTTTTGGGTTTTATCCTTTAAATTTTTTTTCAATTGAGACAAAAACTAAAACACTATTATCATATGATAACAAGCAAAGGAACATATTTAATATTGATGTTAAAAGTGGAAATGCCTATAATGGGTAGTTTATACCAACTAAAAATTCTTTACTGCAGTCAATGGATACTTGAGGGAAAAAACAATAGCAAATACAATGGGTAAAACAAGATGCAGACACAAAGGAAAATAGATATACGGATATGGAAGAAAACAATGTAGGTTAACATGCACAGAATGACTGACATGCTGAGAGCAATTTTTTATAAAAAGATTTTAATTTCAAACAATCCATCTTGGCGAAATAAAAATTAATTTAAAGGTGTGATGCATAAAAGTTTTTAAGAACAAATGACATATTCCAAAAAAGTATATTTTTGTTTCATTATTATATTAGTTAAAACAAAATGTTTACACACACTCACAAAAAAAAAAAAAAGAAAATTTTTGTAAGCATGATTTTATAAAAAAAAAACACAAACATTACCACTCACAAAGCATCACTGCATAAATCTCTACTTACTTTCACTTATGATCATGACTAAAATCAGAAATGGAAAGACCTATTAATTATCAGGCTAAGAAATAGCTCAGTCAGCAGTGCAGCTAGCACTCTGCTGACTGATTGCCTCCAACAACTGGGAATAGAATTAACAGTGGGGGGCTAATAGAACAGCTAATTGAGATCATATATATCTGCAGGGTGGTTAATGGAAAAACCAATTAATAGACAGGGTCATTTATTTTTTGTTTTGCTGCAATTGCACTTATCATTAATGACATTTGCAAACTGCTATTAATATTGCTGCAGTACATATTTCACATAAATATAACCATCATGTTTGGCACTCCGCTTAAATTATGATTCAGAAATATATTTTGTATTACAATTAATTATATTAGATTGAAAACTAAATTATGAAGAAAATAAACCACCATTACATCCATACTAGTAAGAGTCAGTAAGAAATTAGGCATTAACCATCAGTAAAATAAAATAAATAATGATTTAGTAGAAATGTCTATGAAAAATAATAATAAAAAACTACAGTAAATGACACATTTAAAGAGAAATATATCAGTGCTCATCTTGCCCATAAATATTGAATACATATTTAGAGTAAACTATATTCATAGATCAAATGTACAATTACCTTTTTCAGGTCTTGTCTCATCTTTAGTGGACTTCAATAGTTCCTGAATGTCTTTCAGTCTTGCCTGTAAAGTCTGTGAAAAAAATAACAGTGTTAAATTAATATAAGTGTAAAATTTGAAGTCCCATTGTTCTCAAATGATAAATGAACTCCCTTCTATGTGCGAATTTTTGGATACAGAGAATAGCCTTAATAGATATTCATCTTAACAACATTCTCGCTAAATTGCAATCAACTAATGCGACTTAGATGTCTGTCATGCCTACAGAAGCTGCTAGGGGGTAATTAGCACCTTCAGTAGGTGTGCCAAACATCTAAGCTGAAAGTAAATTAGTGACAATCCCCTCGGAGAAGGATCGATCCTGTTAGATTGATTTAGGTATTGGAACCCAGTCTTAAAGTGACAAAGTGTGTCATTGTTTTCAGCTGCATAAGGTGAGACAGTGTTTTTTTAGTTAGTGTTTCGAACAAAGTGTTAAGTGATTCAGAATAAATGAATGAGCCATAATGTAATTTTTAGTAAATTTTTTTTCTTGTGTGACAGTGTTTATCCATCATCCTACCTCTAGGTTAATATTAAATGCTCCTTGGACATCTCCTTTCTTCTCCAGCAGGAAAGCTGTGGCATCAGACACCTTGTACTTTCTGCACAGCTGTAAGAAATTTAGGGTTTCCACACAAGTTTGTGTGCTTTTTCTATAACACATAATATGGTAAGGATTTGCATGATTGTGTGTGTGTGTGTGTGTGTGTGTGTGTGTGTGTGTGTGTGTGTGTGTGAGAGAGAGAGAGAGATGTGAAAGAATAAATAAGAGAACATGGTGCAGTATTTCACTAAGAAAACCCACTCATCAACAGGTTCAGTAATATAGTGACTGTGTATAAATTTTTTGAAATTTTTATATATCAAAATGAAAAGAAAGGAGAGCTGTAGAATGACGACCATAATTACTCAATAAATTCCAGTTCAGTATACATGAATCAAAAATTTACTCCAAGGATGTTTTTTTTAAATGTTGATTCAGTATTTTTGAAAAGCTAGTTGGCTTCATGCAAGACTAAAATCTTGTGTATGAATATGATGATAAATCCTGAAAAAGTAAAATATTATAAAAAGTAGGGTGTTTGAAAAGTTCCAGTAATTACCATACCTCCAGTGTCTCCTCCAGCCTGTACCCCTCAGCTGCCTTGATATAGCTGTACACTGCAGTAGGCTGGTACTGGCACATCAGCTCTATGTACTGCTCATGCACAGCAGGCTCCAGTTGGACCTGGCGATCTGAGTGGATAGCACTGCCAGATGACTCCCTGACACAAACAATGTAAACTAGATATTATTGTTATTTTATTTTATAATGTGAATGAAATTTTACAAAGCCTTAAAGTCACACAATGTGGGTTAGACCAATTTTTCATTATTTTTAAAATCAAATTCATCTCTTTCTTCTATCATATATAATACTTAATTCTATCATATATAATACTTGGTATAATACCAGCAAACCCATATTTGGTTTTGTCACCAGTAAACAAACAGTGTAGTGGACATGGCTGTCAGTGCTGTGTGTGTGTGTGTGTGTGTGTGTGTGTGTGTGCATGCGTGCGCATGCATGCGTGCATGCATGAAAAGGAAGACGTAGAACCAGAATGCATCTGATATGAAAAGAAATAGGTGAAGATTATCATTATAATCATAATGACATATGACAGGACCATTTAGAAACATTTACTAAATTTCTACAAAAAGATTTTACCTTCAGTGCTGTATATTGATTTACATGACAAGAGGATGGACATCATGTGAAATAGATCATTGAGTGTTCCAATCTGAGTGCCATATACAATAATTCAATGTACACATTTCATTACCCACACAGACAACAAGTCTAGCCACTTATTCCCAAATGAAACAATCTACGACAAATTTGAACTAAATACTGAAAAGTATTGAACAGCATTAGTAAAAGCCACCTGAGGACTGCAGTAAAAAAAACAACATAGAATTTTTATTGATGAGATATATGCCGAAAATTCCATGAACTATGGTCACTTAACTACAGTAGGAGCATAAAACCAAAGCTAGGCTATTAATATAAAACATGAGTCTGTCAATTCTTCCGAGAACCACTCATTCTTTGGTTACTTATAAGATTTTTTCATAATGGTAGACAATTTATTATTTCACCTCATCAATATACCTATTAGCTGTATGTCCCATTTGTATTCAAAGGCTCATGTTTTACAGAAGATTAAGAGGAAGAAAGAAAGAAACTTTAACGTAACTGATACAACACTTAAACAGAGGCTGTATGTTTTACATTGAAATCCCACTTACTTGTACTCTATGACTCCTTTCAGGAACTCATAGAGCAGTTTCTTGTCTGGTTCAAGCTGCTTTAAAATCTCTTCCAGTGGAGTTGAGAACCCTAAGAGAACCATCTGGGCAGTCTTCTTGCTATCTATACTGACCAATTCCTGAAATAAGGGATTAAAATTACAGTAACTGCGTCCAGTCCTTTGCACTAAAAACAGTGTTTTTAGAGATACAATAATAACTGCAATCTTCAAACAACTATTAAAGCTTAACTTCTAGTTTTCATATTTACACCTATATCACCCAGTCGATTAATGAGATTGCAATGTTCAAAACAGAAATGTTTACATGTATTTTGGGTACGTGAGCTGTTACGTCAACCTACTATAATTTCAAAATTCATGTGAAAAACTCTCAGGGTTGAATTCGTAACATGATAGCAATACTAGTTACATTTAGAGTGTTCAACTCTTACATGTACTAATATTATTCACTGACATTGTTTATACTCTGTTCTCTGTAGTAGTAAAAATGTGGACAAAAACAAACAATTAATCCCAACCTCCAAATGACTCAAAGCTTCTGACTGTACTTTCAGTTTCTCTTCTGTGGAAAATGCCTCACTTGTCATAATGTTCTTCACATAGGAAAATGCTTGATGCTGGAAAGGAATATTTTCAGGATATTCAATTATTCAAAAGAAAAAGAAGCAATTACAATTCAAACTGAATGTTGGTTTAAAATACTTTAAAAAATAATATCTTTTTGACCTTTTGCTTGGCAGAAGTCTTAACACTGGGAGGTCTCACAAGCTGAAGAAAGATGAAACAGGATTTTGGGAGGACTGTGCTTACAAATATTATGATAGTCACATAATGTCACTGAGAGAACAACACTTCTTACCTTTCTTGCCTGGTCTCTCCAATAACAGGATAAAATCTTGTCAAACTCTCGACGCCTTTCATATAACAGTTCACAAACTCGGTAGCTAGAGGAAAAATACACAAATTTATATTGTTTTAAATTTTTACTAATTCTGCTTTTCATGATCCTCATACTAAACTTTAATAAAAACAGACAAGATCCCAGTGGTCAGTCTTTAATTAAAAGCATCATTACAAAAAAAATCCAAAATAGATAATAACATAAAATTTTGTCTACGATTTCAAATCTTTCTCTTTTGTTTTAATAAATCTATTAGTAATCAACTTCATAAAGCCTTATATATATATATATATATATATATATATATATATATAATTACAATTTTGCATTCTCAGCCAAATGCAGCAGACGACCATCATCAAACTGCTGCAGACCCCCGGCATTGAGTAGCTCCAGCAATGCCTGCTGCCTCTCTTCATGTCTGTTGTCATCTCCTGGCTGGGACAGAAATTCTAGCACCTTGAAAAAAATGGTTTATTTAATATTTATAAACAATATGTACGTAACTCTTCATAATTATGGGCATATTAGTCATTTTACTACTGCTGCTGGTTTAATTTTTGTGTCCGGTACTCTACTACATAAAGCATTCAGTTAATGCTACATACCAACTTGTAACAAAAAGAAAAATAAGAAATGGAAACCGCTGTCATATTGTACAGGATTTTTCTTACAGACATTTGGAAATTTTTTAACAAATTTATCAAAATACAAAATTTACATTTACCTCCATAAAAAATTGCTTTGAAAATAATTAACTATGCTTCATTTAATTTTTTTAGTTAGAATTGAAGAAACATGTCGATGTGTACCTGTTCAAATAGCACCCTGTCAACAAAGATGGTGTTCTCATGTCTCGCCATCTGCCTGGCCAGGAATGTGAATAATATGCCTACCTGGCTGGGCTGATAAAAGGTAAAACAATATAACTTTTACAGTCTGGGCTGACAACAGGTAATTAAAACAACACTGATATTTACACTAAGTTGATGATAATCAAGATGTCTTGTTTAGTATTATACACAGAACATTTTGCATAAACATGTTTCAAATGGCTGCAAGAACATGTATCAAATAGCTGCAATACTGTATGACCATCAGATTTGTGGGAGCACTATGCAAAACTTAAGATTTGTCATGATGAAAAACTAAATGCTATCCTTCATGCACAAGAGTAGAAAAGTAATGGTATAATCTGACTGTGTTCTGAAAAACATACTAGTATGTAACTACTTACTGAGAAACCCTCACTCTCTACCATCACCTTCAGTAGAATGTCCACCACTCGCTGCCTTTTATGTACACTGGAAAAACATTTAAATTGACTNACGGCGACGGCGACATGATCGGCGACGGCGACGACAGACACAGGTGATGGCAATATGTACAGACACATCTGTGTCTGTACATAAAAAGTTCTACAAACTAAAAGACCTGCTTAAGGATTTAAATTATGTCAACATTTTAGCTGTGGTTTACCTTTAATTAGTGATAATGGGAAAAGTGTTAAAATCTACCGGAAAATGTAATTAAGCATGTAATGATGTTAAGGGCTTCTTTTCATTCTGTTTCTGTTACAGCTCATAAACAGTTTCCTAATTTCAAATACAGATAGAAACATACATGTAGCTCATGCAATCCATTGTGAACAATGTGTAAAATACACAAATTGCACCAGTATCATAAGCATGTTGCTTCTTAAACACTATCCTTTCATGATGGAAAGGCTACATATATTTAGGAATCTTCTGCAAAGAACTGTTTCAGTGACAATCAACTCACCCATCACGAGTGTTAAACTCTGCTTCTTCAAAAGCCTGGAACATTCATTAAATTTTTCAAAAGAAATATATTTAAATAAGAAAAAATGTAATGAAATAATAAAGGAATTCAAATAAAATGTAATGCACATCATTATATATGTACTTAGAGAAGCTTTTATCATTTAAGGAGCTACCAGTACATGAACATGCTGTATTCTTTTAGATTTTTTATGTATTCAACTTTTACGTCTAAATTACTTTCTCAAGTTTTTGAATTTATCAATTACATGCAATGTGTCACCAAGGTTTTTAACTGGAAGACAGGAAGATTTCTCACCAAAGCAAGAACATTCAGAAACTCTCTGGTATCAAACAACAACAATGTCCGTAACTGCGGATACATAGCCTCATTCTCAGCCCCATCCTTTGTATGCAGAGCGGTCAAACAATGGAACACACTGTCCTTCACTGATTGGACAATATCTTCAGGAATGTCTCCCATTGGGTACGCCCTCCCGGCCAAACAGCAACTGATATAGACTAATAGCTTGTTACCAAGGCGTATCTCATCGTTTGTGAGTTGTTTTCCTGTGGAGACAGCTGCCCTGAGAATACGAAGGAGTTCTTCGAGAGGCGTAACAAACTCTCTCATGCCATGGTTGTATACGTACAGGATGGCGTCATATAGACCATGCTTCCAACACAGAATCACAATCTGGAGAGAATAAATCAAGAAAAATACACAGCATATCCTTAATTTCTAAAATTATCAAATCACCTGTGTATTACATTCATTGTGAGAAAGAGAACAAAGAGGCATATATATATATACACACTTATTTAGTACAATACAGCACAGACAAGTAAACTGGATGTGATATATAAAGATATTTCAAAGACTTAAGCATGAACTGCAACAGCAAAACAGTTTATCCATATTAACAAAGGAGCACTGACATGGGTATTAAAAGTACAGTCATAAAGTCTTCCCCTATAAGTCACTTGGTACATTACGCAGTTACAAGTCAATTCAATATGACAAAATTTACGATGCAACCTAAAAATAATTATAATAGCTAATTAAAACAAACAAGGAGAAGGATTAGCCTGACTGTAAGTAAACCCCAAAAATACAAACAAAATTTAATCAAGAGGCATATTTCACAGCCAATATTGAATTTTCTACAAGCCATGTACCTGGTGTATATCTAAGCTGCCTACATCCATGTGGACAATGCAGGCCTCCACACTCTGCAGCATGCCTCTGGACTGGTAGTGGTCAATAAATGCCTTCATGACCACCGGTGTGATGTGGGTCAACTGGTCACTCAGGATATATGGCTCCAGGCACTCCAGGAACACTCCTCGTGCTGTGGGGTCTAGACTAAACTGGTCATAGATGGCACTGAACAAGACCTCCCTGAGTGAGAGAAAGCAAGATGCTAATAGATAATGCAGGGCCACAGGAAAATGTAAATTTCATTTTTTGGTTTGTCACCATACTTTACAGAAATCTCTTTATATAAAACATAAGGATCCTGAAGTAATATTTACAAAACCACAATGCATTTTAAAGTCCATTTTCAAATTCACTAACATTTTGGTTAGCATAGCTCCAGTGTAACATGTAACACTGCTGGTAGCCTTTACATAAACATATCTGAAATGAACTTCCACTGGTTATAATCAACTGCAGAATAATTCCATGAATACACCTTATTACTTACGTTTTCCCCAGCAACAAGCAGTAATCCACACAGACTGGAACTACACTCTGCAATTAAAATGGTAAAAGTTAAATGAATGCACTGGTACACTGTATTTCAGAAAGGAACCAAGAGATGTCTTTAATCACCCTGCACCAAAAACTCTATCGCCTACTTGTCCTCAGAGCCAAGAAGGTCGAATAATCTCCTGGCCTAATGCAGAAACAGTGGCCAGTAACCAAATATTTTTTTTAATTTCTGGTCCTGCTCTAATTCTGCTGGCAATTTGGATTGGGACCAATGGTTAATTGAGCAGGCTATTATTGCATTTAAGTTGGTGGAAGCAGTAAAAACTTTCTTAATCAGAGAGCCAAAATAATGTCTGAATACATTTCTGTGACAGGTTTTTACTTTACAATTAAACTTATGATACATGCCTGCATACATTCTTCCAGTTTTTTCACCATCTTAGTTTTAGTTCTTTACTGAAGCCTATTGCACACTACATAGATGTCAGCACTGTAGTTGTCTTAGTTCTACATCTAATAAATAGATGTCAGCACCATTCCTACCTGGAAGTATTCCTCCAGCTCTTCCATCTTCCCAGACTCAGGGCAGTCTGTTGTAACTGCTTTGTCTACAAACTTATACAACAGCTCCATCATCTGCAAGTGATTTGAATTGATGAAAATTAACCTCATGGATAAATTTGAATTCATTGGACATTGTGGAATGAACCATCCATGTTAAAACACTTACATAAGTATATAATGAAAGCAAATTAAAGAATTAGTAAAATTCCTAAATGATGCCCAAAAATTAAACATTGATTTCTATATAATAATTGATTCAGAATTTCTAGCATGATCAATTTTACATTAATTTAGCAGAAAAGACTTTTTTCAACAAGTTGAAAATTCTATTAATTAAAAACTGGAAAAAATTGAAAATAAAATTTCAATATACTCAATATTTTTTCTATTTTCTATATTCAAAAGGCATATTTTAGAGCCAATATTGAATTTTCTACAAGCCTAGAAGAGTTACCTTGTCAGCAACTACCTGCCTCCTCTTCTGTAGTCCTCCCAGTAAACCCACCACTGCCTTGGCCTTGTCTTGATAGAAAGAGTACGCCAGGGACAGGGCATCTCTAGTCCTTCCCTGTCTAACTAGAACATCTATTCTCTGAAAGAAAGGAGTTTTATTAATACTAACACTTGATCATCTTTTTCTCATGAATAGGGGCAATAAGCAGGATAATTTATTTTTATAAACCTCCTAATCTACTAGTGAACTGAAACTCAAAAGGACGAATGTACCAAAAAATGTTATTTGTAATAAACCTCAACACAAGGGCTGGCTTTTACAGTAAAATTTCTTTATATATTAAATTTTATAAAATACAGTCCCTTACTTCTGTCCAGTTCCTGAGAGTGTAACAGTGGACACTCTTAGTACCCAGAAGTAGCAGCTGACCACTGTAACTGACCAGTGACTGATAACAGGCTGAGTCACCTGCATATGCCTATGATAAAAACAAAATTTCAATGAAAGATTGACATTTTGGCCATATTATCTTTTGTATAATCCCCTCCCCCTGAATTCGTGTTCAAGTTTTTGACAAGGCTGACCTGATACATGTATATAATGACATTTGGTCACAAGGATCGAGGGACATCTTATTGTGTCTGAATACCGTAATGAAAAAAATCTAAGTTTCTGAATATCTAATTTAAGACAGAATATGAATGTTGTAAATATTAGTTATCTTACCAGGGCCTTGCTAACATTGCCTCCAGTGGCTAAAGACTTGAAGTAACTGCTGCCATAGACCAGCTGCACCTCTCCTACATCCAGGACCTGGTGGACAGGAGAGAAGTCAATGAATGCATTTAGAACAAGTAGATCTAAGGACTAACAGATACTTCTGCCTAAGATATTGGTCACATTCAGAACAGATGATCCGCGGACTTAAAATGGTAAACCCACTTAGAAGCAATGCCGACTAATCTGCCTACACTCACGTCGTGTCTGCAGAGGCCTAGCAAATTAAATCTGGAAGCCAGGATTTAATCTGTTTAATAACACGTGTGGAGGCAGGGGATTAGGCAGCTTGCTTAAAAGAGGGGTTGGCCATATTTAGTCTGAGGATCAGTAAGTCCGCAGATCATCTGTTCTGAATGTGACCAATATGTTTGGTAGACACATTGAATATAAGCTTGTAAAGGTGGGACCAAGGGAAGGGGAGGGGAAAATTGCCCATAACTTTGGGTGTGTTCCCCTTTTTCCCTTAATCATTCTCCAGAAAATGACACAAATCCAAAGAGTTATTCCGCAAATTTCTGGATCTGTCTGAGACTTGTTAGCCTCATGGAAGGAAGTACGTGTAACTGAAAATATTTTCAGAACTTTTGCAGTTCGATCTGGATGAAAACATTTGTAAATGTAAGCATCAGTTTAGAAACTAATTGGCTTTAATTTAAACTGTCAATTTAAACCTTCAATACACTTTTTTTACAGTTGACACAAATGTTCAAGAATGGTGGCCATACCTCCAATTCTTCTTCACTTCTTACGTCCACCACATGGAGCTGCTCTGACCTGTCCAAGATGACCACTGTCCTTGCATTCAGCCACTTAAAGGAAAGAATACTTGTGATGAGAGAGAGAGAGAGAGAGAGAGAGAGAGAGAGAGAGAGAGAGAGAGAGAGAGAGAGAGGGATTTGGCTTCTTAAACTAAGGAATTTCAATAACATTGCCTCAAATTATTCATAATGAAGATTCCAAAATAAGTCTTTAAAATATCTTCCACCACTGACAGTTAAACTTTATGAGACTTTGCAAAATATGAAAACATCCTATTATACTTACTGTGACACTGAGGATTTTATATGGTAGCTCTATTTTTTGCAGTGGTGAAAATTTTATGTTTTCTGGATTCACACAGATCACCTAAAAATACAAGTCACTAAAAATAATGTACATCCAGCCAAACATTTCAAATAATCTCTTATGTCTTCTTCAAACGAACCAAGTACATGTAATTACAGTTTATTTCACGATAAGCAAATTTCAATGTTTGACCTTTAATTTATAATTACCATAATACTGGATATATTAGCTAAGTACTAGATAAGTCATTGACTGCAGTGACCGTCATATTTTACATGAATTACGTTTCTTAATCTATTTTAACTGGACATTGCCAAACAATCTTAAAGTTTATAGCTGACCCTGATGCATCATCAAAATAAATAGTCCAGTCATCATCAAAATAAATAGTTAATTTCAAATCTTACTCATATCATATTTAGCATTCACTGACAACAGTCTCCCTACTTTAAACCCAAAACAGGTCACAGTATCATAATATGATTATAGACCCATCCCAGTGACACCTGTTCAGGCTCCACAGCCCCAGAGACGTAATACTAAACTAGATCCAAGTCCACTTCATGAAGTAGACCATATTGACTGTTCACAAGACAAGATGAAGACACTGCTGGTTTTCCTGGCTGTAGTAGCTGCTGCTTTTGTGAGTATCTTTACTGTTTTTAAATAAATAAATAAATAAATAAATAAATAAATAAATAAATAAATAAATAAAAAGAATGTTTGCAGACACATACTTCACAAGAAAAAAGACATTGCACTATAGGCGAAAGCTTCAGACTAAAAAAATAATGGTTTTGCATTTGCAGGGTGCAGTAACTATTCGTGACTGCAAAACCAATGATGACTGTAATGACGGTGAATGCTGTGTACCAGAGTATAGATTCCACATAGTCAGCAAGAGGGTTCTGCCTGACCTGCCTTTCCTGTCTAAACGAGGTGGTGTATTTAAAATATTTTGTGCTATCTGACTTTTCTGACTTGTTTCATAAAAACTCTTAGAGATATTGGGCCAAGTTTAGTCTGCTAAAAGCCAAAAGTCAGCCATGTATATAGTCACAGCTGTAATCAACTCATTGATTGTTACCAGTGTCATCTAACTGGGCATCTAATCTCTTTGATATATGCTATAAGAAAATATATCTGAAAATTTTATTTTTCAGTTATATTTATACTTATATATATATTAAGACATTGTATTGTTAGAACATAGCCAGTGTAACAAAATGCACCAGTACGAATACAGGAATAATTCTCATATCATATATAATATTCCAGAGGGCAGATGTTTGGCCTATATTCAGAAAGGGGACTCTTGCCACACCCCAGGGTTTGCCTCCTGTGGCTGTGCCCCAGGTCTGGTATGCAATTACTACCCAGATGGCAAGACCAAGAGAAAGATTATCTTCAGGCCAGGGGATTCCTTCTGTGAAGAAGGAACAACTGATGTCTGAGCAGGGAAAAAGATTCCTATATTCAATCACCAAATGAGAACAGTTGCCATCAGAACTGCCGTTGATAACAATTTTTATGAGAATTGTCAGAAATAAAAAAAAGTCATTTATATTATTTTAGTGTTTTAAAAATGATGAATGTCTATGACAGATCTTATATAATTGTAACAAATCTTATACATAAAGCAATTTGTAATTTGTAAATTTGTAAATTTCTTAGACTTAATATGTTATGACACAATTCGGTTGAACATTTTCTATAACTTTACTATAAGCAGAACAGATTTGAAACGATGGTAAGCTTTTAGCAAAAATTTTCACTTCTATAACAGTGTGCTCCCAAGGCCAATTTTTCTTTAAATCTTGTTCTCGATAAAAAACAACACATTTTCAATATGCTGTTTCTCAACATATCAGAAAGACCCCCTTTAAGCTTGTTTGCAATTACAGAACTTCTAACACCTGGTCCTTTTCCACAGCCATGAAGTGAACACACCAGGATTTACTAACAGAAACTGACAGATGTTAAATAATGACTATGTTGATTATCATAATTAATTCAAAGCAGGTTAATTATCATAATTTATTCAAAATCCAAAGTGAGACTGGGGCTCCTCCAAAGTCCTGTCAAATGATGACACCTAATAGTTTATTTCTACCTTATTATTTCCACCTAAGTTAAAACTGATGAGAACTGAGCCTATACCTGAAAGAAATGTATGGTGCTGTCCCTTCCAAAGGCCAGCACTGGGTCAATCACTCTGTCCTTGTCAGAGACCTGGATGACCACAAACTGCCAGGCCAGCAGTGGCAGTGTGGAGCTGTCGCCCTGGAAATGTCATAGATATGATATAAACATTACAGTGAATATTAATTTTGGCAATACAAACAGCACCACGAAAATAATAACTAACATTTCAAGTGCTTCTTATCAGGATTACATGACGATTTCTGCCTTATCCTAATTTTTTCTGTAATGATTGTCAAGCAAATGGAAGTTAAGTCTTTCATCCACGATATAGTTCCTTTGAGTTCTGCTGACTTATGGATAAAAAAGAATCATGTTTTTTCAACAGGAATTTCTTTTCTGTTCAAGACTCACCTTTAAAGGATGTGAGAACATAACTTTGAGTTGTGGTCTCAGTGTTACTATTAAGACCTGGAAACAGAAGCAGATAATTGTAACAGATTCAAAATTAATTTTTTTTTTGTTAAATTTTTTTTTAATTTAAATAAATTTAAAACAGATCTGGGTTCAAAAAAATCTTTGAACAGTTACTTGTGGGACCATGCGTACATTCAAACTTGACAAATCTGTGGACCAATCAGAAATGATTTTTAAATCTTGGGATTCTTTGATTCCAAGTAAAACCCTCATGTCTGCATATCATAATCTCATATTTATTAAAAGGATGAAATCCACTTTTAAGTATTGTGTAAAATCTGCTTTAAACTTGTCACTTCTTTTTGGACTTTAATATACCATTTGTTCAATTTGTGCCTACGGTAAAGTCTTGAAAATTTCGTCGCTTAAAAATTAATTAATATTTTTAATTGTGTAAATCCGACTAATTTTTCAAAATTACCTCTCCCCGACTCCTGGGTATGACGAAATTTTCAAAAATCCGGCCTTTTGGCTTTTATCCTTAGCGTCTGTTATCTTTGACCCTCCTATATTGTGGGATATTTATTACTACTTCCTAAGTCGTTTTTTGGTGGTAAATAATAATCTATTTATTACTGCATCTCGATTAAGTTTAACTTACTGTACCAGAAAATATCTTCTCGGTAAGAAATATACCTTCTGATAGAGGAGAAGGATCAAGATAAGCCTAATTGCCTCCTTGCATCATAACCTGGACGCGACATATTTTTAAAAAAATACGCACTTGGCAACGTTTGTTGCATGCAGGGCTTTTCCCAGGATTGAGTGTCAGGCCTTCTAAAATTACCATCTGTAACTTCCTAAAAATTTACAGGGAGTTAAAATAATTGCTCCCGCTGACGATCTTCCGCAATTTAAGTTCCTTGAATTATAATGAAAACTGCATTTTATTATTGCTTACATCGCGAACGATCTCCCGATGATGATAAGAAAATTGCCTTTTCGTCTCGCTCGGATTGCGAACGATCTCCCTCTGATGATCTTACGCGAACAAAGTCCTGGNAAAATTGCCATTTCGTCTCGCTCGGATCGCGAACGATCTCCCTCTGACGATCTTACGCGGACGATTCTCCGCTGAAGATATGCCGTGAGCGGGAGCAGGGGGGTTGAAGATAAAATGAAAAATATGTTATTTACAAAATTCAAAGGGGGAAGGGGGTTAAAATAATGATCTCCTGCTGACGATCTTCCACGAACGAAGTTCCATTGAACCTAAGATCTAATATACCATTAGATCTTAGATTGAACTAATATGAAAAGTGCATTTTATTCTCGCTTACATCGCGGACGATCTCCCAGTGAAGATATGAAGATTGCCTTTTCGTCTCTCTCGAATCGCAAACGATCTCCCGCTGATGATCTTACGTGTACAGAGTCCATTACAAATAAGAAAATTATCTTCTCGTCTCGTTTGGATTGCGAACGATCTCTTGACGATATTACGCGCAAGATTCTCCGCTGAAGATATGAAAATTGCCATCTTGTCCCATTCGCATTGCGAACGATCTCCATGTACGAGGCAGGCAATCGTTAAATGGTCCTAGATTGAACATGGACATGAATAGAAGTGACGGGTACATGTCCCTTCGAGATAATATCTTGATTTTTTCATTGTGTCTTCCTCATTTAGGACAGCCGCCGATAACAATAACGGCGTTACAAATGACAAAGCCGCGGCCTGTGACTTCTACTGTATTTGCCGGCTTGATAACGCACCTTGAGCCAGGTAATAGTAATGAAACTATTTAGACAAAAGGCCGACGTTCCCGCAATTAAGAACGGGAATTCACATGTTAACCACCTATATTGTGAGCAACCGCTCGCAGGGGCACACTATTGTTCCTATCTCCCATTGAGAGTGTTATCGGCAATGAGATCCTGATCGTATCATCGTCTTAAATCAACTGACGCATTACCTTCATATTTGAGCTGGACAACGCGGCCATATTTGGTGACGAACTTTTCAAAAATTATTGAGTACCTCATTTTCAAGGTCGACGAAGTTTTCAAAGGGAAAAAAATTACCTCGGCGGAAAATCGTCTGTCGACGAAATTTTCAAGAACGACGAAATTTTCAAGACTTTACCGTATAGTACCTTAGAGAATGTTGCCATGGCAAGTATCATAACATCCTTCATAGGATGGTCTTTGATAGTGTAATTCATATGAAGAGGCTCTATTGCACACACTTCACCCCGGCTGAAAATATATTGGAGATACTGACTAAGAATTATGGCAGTTCATTAACGTCTGATGTATAGTATTACCGTACTCATCAGAAATGCAACAGAATGTTTATACTTATGACTAAAATAAAATACCTTACTAACAAAGGACAAAAGAAAATAAAGTAACATTACATAAAATATATAATATAATGATTATAATACCAAATATGACCATAAAAGTTTTCAAAGTGGGTGTGGCATTCTCTTACCTTCCAGAGAATAAACATTTAGACTCACATGTCCGTACCCCTATAAGACGCCTGAAACATAACAAAATAAAATAGCAAAATAATTCTAGTAGCTAGCAGTTCATATATATTCAGATTTTATACTATAACACCAAGATTGTGTCAGTTAATACTTACATAAATACTGCTCTTACTTAAAAATTACCTTTTTTTTTACTATTTCAAAGATAGCAGACTACAGGTGATTAACAGTTTCATGATACTGTCAAGAAACGTGAAGGCATTTACTTACTTGAATTCTAGTTCAAAAACTGAGCCCCCGCTATCACTACAAACTGCCACTGTCAGTTCATCTGTGAACTGGAATGAAAACAGTATCTGATAGAATTTCATGCAGAACCATTTCTTCTTTAAAACCTATAAAATGTGTATAATCTTTCAACTGATTATTAACTTCTAACCTTATAGCAAATAAACAACATTTTATTACAATTATGACAGTCCACAAAACAATATGCAATATTAACAGATTCAGAAACATGAAGTCTACATATTGTGAACATATGTGCTAGGTGTATATAGATTGTGTTGGATGTAAATAAATTGTGGTAGGTATGAAGAGATTGTGTTAGGTGTGACAGACATTCTCACCTTCACATGCAGCACAGCAGACCCTGGGGGATGAGCATCTGTGATGGTTCTCAGCAATTTCCCATTTGTGATATCCCACATGGTGATCTGAAAATCACACAGGTGTCTGATAAAAGCTCAATAAGACAATAATTGCAACATTTAATGAGCAGTAGATCCCAGGTTAAGAGGACACTTAGAGACCAGAACATTTATTCAAAATATGTGAAGATGTGAATTAACCAATGTTCATATTAATTTAAGCTAATACAAAATCCATTCCAATAGATTTGGTTGCTATAATGGAGCAATATGATGGGGTATATGGAATCTACTGTCGTTATCATACATATTAAATTAAAGTAGAAGTGTTGGAAGTGCTAATAAAATACTGCACCTATTGAATCACCAATTACTCACAAGGCCCTGAGAGAATAAAATAATGGTCTGACATAGTCACCCATTAAGTTGACATGTGATGATAACACCAGTACAGTATCTACCTATTATAGCTACAAGGTACTAACCTGCCCTCTAGCAAATCCACAGAGTAGTCTAGTGCAATCTCTGTTAAAGCTGAGAGCTGACACTGCTCCATACTGAGCTCCGACAGCTGTACTGCCCAGGCACCATTTTAACACCTGCTTGGGGTCTTTGAAAAAAAAAAATTTTTTTGTGTTATTAATATAAAATTACAGACAAAATTTATGTGTATGACATTGGTGACAATTCTCAGGTTAAAACTATCTGATGTGGGCAGCAGCAGTGTCATAATATTATCAGCAAGTTGTGGTAAGCTTACCAAACACTAGCACCAGTCCATGGGAAGTCCCTATTGCAATTAACTGGGAAACAGCCTAAAAGTAAAAATTCTGTGATTTATAAAAATATTGAAAATATAAAACTCAAAATGAGCATGTTACAAATGAATGAATGAATAAATGAATGATTGATTGAATGTTTGAATGGACAAACAAACATAAAAATGCCAATGCAAAAAATATTAATCATATTATAATTCAATAAAAAGATCAGGAAAAATTTAATGCAGATGTCATTTGTTTGATGAGCAAAATATTAGGAATTATATAATGTATTTTTGTGAAAAGATTCTCTTTCCATCAACTCAGCAGGTGCTGCCATCTTCAGGGCACTTACCACTGCTGTAGGCATTCCAGCATCTACACGTTCCTGAAACACAAAGAGAGCAGATAAAGTATCAAAACTGTGTTTTTACCAGGTTAAGATCTGTTAACAGTGACTTGAAGTCAGCATCACTGGTAGTATTGCAGTGAAACATTGAAAAAATGGCCAGTGGCCAATCGGAATTAGATTCTTTGTTAAATTCAGTTTTAACCTAGTCAAGTACATTTTAGGAGGCTAGGATTTTAGCCCCAAAACAGACAAGACTTAATGTGAAACAGGCCCATATGATACTGGTTGTAGGATAGTGTGACTACTACTCACTGAAGCTGAGTTCAGCTGGGCAGAGATGCCTTTTAGAACAACATGTCTTAAAATGGATCCATGTGCCTCATATGTAATGCTCTTCCTCTGCCTAAAAATTAGCAAGCATAATTTATGATCATTCGTTATATAATAAGATCAGAAATGATAAATTTTCTTTAATATTATAGCAAATATTACTAAAAGGCAATTTTATGAATTAATCTTTGTTTTAGAAAATATATGAGTAAGTTACAGGTCAAATAATATGCATAATTTAATTAATAGAAGACATTATGTGTACTTATACTAACAGATACCTCTTTTATCTTTTAACTGAACCAAGGATTAGGAAAAAGACAATTTTGTTCCATTTTCAAAGTCACTTGAACAAAAAAATTTCATGTTCCCAAGCTTTCCATGATAATATTTTCGTGTTATATAAATCTAAGAGATTAGAAATAAAGCACAAAAACTTATTCTGCAGACCATACTCAGGCCCGTAGCCAGGGGGGGTTCGGGGGGTTGGAAAGAACCGCCCCTTTTGCTGGGAAAAGGTCCACTCTGGGTAAAATTTGATCTAGGTACATGAAGTTTTTATGGGAAAAGGTCCACTTTTTTCAGAAAAAGAACCCCCCTTTTGAAATTGCTGGCTACGGGCCTGATACTTCTACTGCTACATTCCTACTAATTAAGTGGCAATCATATTAAAATAGGCCTACACAACATTTACATCATCCTTGCCAATAATTGAACTTACTTCTTAGGAGACTTGCCCTCTGCTATGTCATGGCTGGAGGCTGAGGACATGGAAGATACAGACATTGTATCTGCCTGGTCTCCTCTGAACATCTCCAACTGACTCTCATCTTCAAATACATTGTCATCATCTGGCTGCAACAATACAAAAATTAGAATTTCAAATCACACCAACCAAAAGGTTGAAGTCATACAAAGAAAGTAGTGAAGATAAAACTATTTTAAAAGAATATACATAAAATTATAGCTGAAATCACTGGTTTTCAAAAAGTGGCTTAAGAAAATTTATTCAGAATAAATATATAGCAAAACTTTTGTTTTTAACATTGGCACTGCATTACAAGACTCAGAGTTTTTTCTTTCAATTCTTTGGGATTTTGTGGTGAAATGGAAGTTATGTTAATTAAACTATGTTGAAATGCTTAAACCATAATGATATCTTCAACAATTACCTATTGTTCAGTTCATGCATAACTGATTATACAATTTTGCCATAAAAACATGCAAAGAACAAACATGAATATGACTTCAATTATACCGTATTTTCTCAAAGATGTGCCTTAAATAACAGTGTCAATCTTTTAAAAATCCATTTATGAGGACAAAATTCAACAAAATACAAACTGATAAAAACATTATATCAAAGAAAGCAATGCACCAAGTCCTTTTAGTAAATGAAACTAATACACACAAATAAATTGTAAACAGAGATATAAATAACTTTTAACAGACTTTCTCAACACAATTATTATAGTTTTTCTATCATATCAGGAATATAATATTACATGAAACCTTGCTTACTTCATTCAAGATACTTTCTAGTGTTGGTGGTGTTGCTACTTCAGGCAGGTCAAACTCGGAAACATCAAGCTAAAAATCAGGAAAAAATATATCATGCAACAACAATTTAGCAACTTCAAGTCAAAAGTTACTCTGTCATATGCGCACCTTATCACAATGATTTATTCTAGACTGAATGACTTTGAGAATGAATTAGGATTCCCTTATGATCCATACACTGTGTAGAATGTTGTTGTTTTTTTTTTACCAATGACTATTCTGTAGTATTAGTGATGTCTATTATGGATTTTATGTGAGGATTGAATAAATTGCCAAAACCTTTAAAAATCATATCACTGACATAAGGAATTAATACAAAATGGGCATCTTGCTTCAGACACAAACCAAGCAAAACTACCATCATGTAAAACTGCTAATAAAACTTACATGCTTAAAGCAAACAGAAACAAACTGGCTAGTTAATGATCATCATAATGAAATAAACATGCATAACAGTGCAAATTCCATTAACATGTTTACAACAATAATATCCCTAATTTATCTGAACACTGTAAAATACGAATGCATCACCAATGCCAAAAATGTCCAGGCTTGTGTTCTACATATTTGTTTCTGTCATAAATTGGATATATTAGCCTCCACGTACTACAGTGTACACAATCGTGTGAATAACCCAAATATTTCATTGCCTTATGTTACAGGGTTTAGTCTTACTTGGGAACCTAAATAAGATTAGTGTGGCTAACGTCAAATGACCAGAAAATATGTAAGTAAATCCCTACACCCACCCGAAGGATCCGCCCATGTGCAATCATATACGGACTAATATACATTCATTGTGTAAACTCGAGCTGGCTCTACTCTCCTCGGGCCTCTTCGTTACAGGAAGAAGGGGGGGGGCGTACGACTTGATGTAGAGTGGTTGCTCCTGTTTCGTTCTATAGCCCCAGAATCAAACTTAATTATGTATAGACTCTCAACAATACAATAAAATGCTAATATGAAAATTAATTTCACTATCTCGTAATTACCTCTTCTAGTGATAATTCTAATTTTTCGGCAGCTGTCAAGGCACTTTCCACTGCATCGGCCATATTTGACCTATTTACAGGGCACTTGCAACTGAACCAATCAAAAACAGCGTTTGCATCATGTGATCATCCCAGCAACCATAAACATCTAGCCTACAAATTGCAGCGTGTAAGGATTTCAAGCTTATATTTTTCATATTATCCTATGGGAAAGTAATCAGACAAGGTAGGGATGGTAGTTTTTACGTATATTGAACAATTTGAATTACTTGATTGCGTACAGAGAGCTATGATTAAGAGAATACAGACATATATTGGAAGCTTACCCGTGCAACGAACGACGTACATATTCTAAGGCTAATCCTATCAATTTTCACTTGAAGTTGAATACTGAAATTTCACTTTACCAGTTTTGATCTAGCGTGAACTGTGACATGCATATGGGATTTGTAACTTTATGTATGATCA